GTATGTTTATTTGGGGGTATATTTTTATTTTCTGATATAAAAATGGATGATATTAAAAGAGTGTGTCCTTAATGGCAGTGGTTGGCTTAAAGCCTTGGTGGAAATTCCTTTAGAATGCAAGCAACCCTCCTGCAATGAATTTCTACTGCCTTGGATGTTGATGGCTCAGATTTCATACTCTATCACTTTTTCTCAAAAACTCCACTACAATATCCTTTCTCCCAAGATATTAGTAAATCCTGTATATTCTGAAAATTCCCAGGGTCATCTCCCTCTGCCAACTGCCCCTTCTCATCTCCTTTAATTTCTTGATACTTTCTGATACCTCTCCAAAAATAAATCTGTGAAAGCCTAAAAGTTGCAGATGTGTGGTGTGAGGTTAATACAAATAGGAAAATGGGCCTAAAGAACTTGGAGACATTATTCCTGGGAAGCATGGACTCCCTCGCTTCCAGAAGTGGAAGCCCTGTTCCCGTGACTTGAATTCATTTCTCTCACTGAGTGATAGAGAATATATCTAACCCCTCACTCACATTTCACAACATTAAGGATGTAAAGAAAGTTATGAGAAACAATCTCATTTCATTATATAAATGCACATAAATTCTCATATATGTAAAATGCATGCTTGTACAAATATAAAAATTCCTGGGCCAGCACTGTGGTGTAGCAGGTTAACGCCCTGGCCTGAACTTCTGGCATCCCAAATGGACACCGGTTCGAGACCTGGCTGCTCCACTTCCTGTCCAGCTCTCTGCTGTGGCCTGGGAGAACAGCAGAAGATGGCTCAAGTGTTTGGGCCCCTGCACCCAAATGGAAGACCTGGAAGAAGCTCCTGGCTCTTGGCTTCGGATTGGCACAGCTCTGGCCATTGTGGCTAATTGGGGAGTGAAGCACCGGATGGAAGACCTCTCTCTCTCTCTCTCCCCCTCTCCTCTGTCTCTAACTCTTATTTTCAAATAAATAAATAAATCTTTAAAAAAATTCTCCATTCTAAGAACTTTCTATTCTATCACCCATTTCCCACATGATAGAATTCTCAAATCCTTTGTTAGACAAAATGTGTTTCTCTCTTCTTTGACATATATTTTAGGTTAATACTAGAGGCATTCAAAAAGTGAGTGTAAATTGGACATTATGAAAAAAAAACTATACACTAATTTCTAATTTTTATTGCACAAAAATATATTTGATTTCCATTTTCCCACAAACTTGTTGAAGTCAGTCTTCTCACTGCATTTATAAGAAATATTCACTGGCCGGCGCCGCGGCTCACTAGGCTAATCCTCTGCCTTGCAGCATGGGCACACCGGGTTCTAGTCCCGGTCAGGGCACCAGATTCTGTCCCGGTTGCCCCTCTTCCAGGCCAGCTCTCTGCTGTGGCCAGGGAGTGCAGTGGAGGATGGCCCAAGTGCTTGGGCCCTGCACCCCATGGGAGACCAGGACCTGGCTCCTGCCATTGGATCAGTACGGTGCGCCGGCCGCAGCGCGCCGCCCACGGTGGCCATTGGAGGGTGAACCAACGGCAAAGGAAGACCTTTCTCTCTGTCTCTCTCTCTCACTGTCCACTCTGCCTGTCAAAAAATAAAAAAAAGAAATATTCACTAATACACTCTGTTGCTTCAAAACCATGAACACAAGAACATGAATAAAGCTCAAATGTCTTCATTATTCTTCCAATAGGATCAGTACTAGATCTCATATTTGCCCTTTTGATTTATGACAACCCCAACTGAATGTAATGGTCTGAATAAAATGATTAATATGGAGCACAGTTCCATACAATATTTAATTTCCCAGAAACCTTTCATTCAAGATATACAAACTTCATGCATTTCATAAACACAACTTTAAGAACATAGTAGTCCCACCGTACCCTCCTCCCAACTGAACTCCCTCCCTATTTCCTGCTTCCTCTCCTATTCCCATTCTTATTTCTTACTAAGATATATTTTTGATTAACTTTATACACATAATATTAACTTTATACTAAGCAAAGAGTTCAACAAATAGTATGGAAAAAAAAAAACTGTTCCTCAACAGCTGAGACAAGGGCTGTTCAAAGTCATAACACCTCAAAGTGTCAATTTCACTTCCATAGATTACCTTTTAGGTGCTCTATTAATTACCACAGATGAGGGAGAACATATGGTATTTGTACATTTGGAACTGGCTTATTTCACTAAGTATGATGCTTTCTAGTTTCATCCATTTTGTTGCAAATGACAGCATTTCATTTTTTACCGCTGTGTAGTATTCCATGGTGTACATATCTCATAGTTTCATTATTCAGTTTTTGCCTGCTGGGATCCTGAGCTGTGCATGTCCACACCCTCCTCATAGATCCACAATAGCTTTCTAATTTGTACGGAGTTTCCTTTACAGTTTTCTCTCTATCTCTTCCCTGAGATTGTACTTTCTCCACTATTTTTTAACTATCTTCCCCTAGACTAGTACAGTAAGCTCTCTCCCTTTTCCATCATATTGGAATACTCCCTGTATGATAATTATAGCACAGGCATCACCACAAAATCCCCAGCCCCACAATTATTTATTTGAATATTGCGTGACTCATTGCCAAAGTACTGGCCTGGGAAAGTTTTTCTAGCACCTTCATGGACTGTCTGCTGTGTTGGGACAAGGCTCCCCTTAGTCTCCCAATTCTAATAATCATTTTGGCTGATAATGCGTGAATGATATTCATTGTGTTTTCATTCTTAAGGGGTGCCCACCTGGAATAATAAACACACATTGCCATTTTTTAGGAAAGTACTTATTCATCATCTGAATGTTGAGGGTGGTGCCATCACTCTTGGTTCACTCCTTCAAAAGCCACAGTCTGATGGACTGGTTTGCTAATAGAATAACAATGAGTTAGCCTGAACCACCTTTCCTACCTGAAATGTTAAATATTTATACAAATTGGAACACCCATTCTGATGACCAAACTGATTGGACCAAGGCTTTTCAAGGCCAAAAATGCAGAGATGGAAGTGTCTTGGTTTCCATTAGGCATATTCTCATTGTCCAGCAATATGGTGCTTCAGGAATGACACAGGGGAAATAATGCTAAGGACAATTCAAGGAAATCTAGTTTCTTTCCACCAGCTCACTTACTATCAGATTCATACTAGCACCTTATGTATAGTATCTACCTTAGCAAAATGAATTTGGACAAAGGATTTCTAAGGGCTCTTCTATCTCTAAAATGTGCTTATATTATTTAATATGGTAAATGTTTGTTAAGAACTGGTTTATGCAACATGAAGTTGTATGAGAGTGGGGAGAACTTGTCCTGCATCCTGGAACTCCAAGATCATTATTATGTCCACATTCAAACTAGTGTCTGAAGTTACTGCTATCCAATCCTTGGATCTCTTCAGAAACAGAGACATGATCTTTCAGATGAGTTCTTGTCTAGATTTTCACTTCTCCTGTATTATCAGTGATGAATTATGGTTCAAGGAAAACCCAAATCCATAGCAAAATGGAATACAATGAAGAAAATCACAGTTAATGATATGAAATTGAACTCTGTTGAGCCATGGCCAATTAGAATGCATCTTTCTGGAGATTTATTTCATACATTATCTATAATGTACCATCTGTTTGTTGTAGGGAAAAAACAACTCAGGACTTGGAGAAAGAGGAAGTGGTAGTTGAGTTTACTAATATGTAAAGCCAAAAAAAATAAAAAAGCACATTCTCAAATAGTCTGATTGCTTTCTGGGTTTCAGCTCTCTCCTTCCAAGTTCAGCTTTGGGAGTTGAAGATTCCCAGTGATGACTGGCTACATAATTTATGACACTCAGAGCAAAATTAAAATTTGGGGTCCTTTGTTCAAATTGCAGGATAAATTTGCTATGAAGCAATAAATGAAAATCCCTATTTAAAAATATTTTATTGCTTACAAAACACAGTATAGTTTATAATGATATAACAGTGATGATATAAATTTGCAAATTTCAAAACGCATGTTATCATAATTTGTATAATAAAAATTATAATATACCTCAATTGATAGTAATATTTTTCTAGCTCTCTTTTCTGAAAATTTATTTGTTATAAAAATTGATACTTCTGGGCTGGCGCCGCGGCTCAATAGGCTAATCCTCTGCCTGCGGCACCGGCACACCGGGCTCTAGCCTTGTTGGGGCGCCAGTTCTGTCCCGGTTGCTCCTCTTCCAGGCCAACTCTCTGCTGTGGCCCGGGAGTGCAGTGGAGGATGGCCCAAGTGCTTGGGCCCTGCACCCACATGGGAGACCAGGAGAAGCACCTGGCTCCTGGCTTTGGATCAGCGCAGTGCTCTGGCCGCAGCACACTGGCCGCAGCGGCCATTGCGGGGCGAACCAACAGCAAAGGAAGACCTTTCTCTCTGTCTCTCTCTCTCACTGTCCACTCTGCCTGTCAAAAAAAAAAAATTAAACAGTTTTTAAAAAAGAAAAAAACTTGATACTTTTAGCAACTTCATTTCCAAGCATCATGATGGAATGCAGAGTCAGTAGCTCTAGAAATGCAAGATTATAAACAGAATTCCTCACCATTTCTAATTTGAGAAGAATATTTCTGTTGACATAATTGATACCAGAACTCTTAGTAGTATGTTATATACTATGACAATATTTGCATAATTACCTGATAAATAAGTTTGAGTAAATCAAAGCTTGATATGTCTAGTAGAATAGGTTTTCTAAAACTATTTAGCTGTTAATATAAATCAGGTTCACATAAGTCTGAGCTTAATTTTAAGCCTTAGTTAAAAGATACAATTATTAAGAATTTGAGACAGCAACAGCAAAGCGTTGTGCAGAAAACGAGACTCTTCCTGGGATTGAGGCCTTTAGCCACTAAACAGGTCTAACCCAAGAGGCTGGTCGTGTTCCTGTGTTCACTGCAGTCCACTCATGTGGCTTCATTTCAGTGTTAAGGGTCCTGTTCCTTCCTAATCACCAACTCTATATTAACATAAAGTATCTGGCAAGGTTGGAATTCTACAAGCTGTCATTGAACCACTGCATGTTTAAACTTTGGTTTTGATTTGTCAGACATCTCAATTTGTGGCTACAGCAGATACGGATTTCTTTAAAGTAGTTGTGGAAGCTTTCTGATTTGTATCTCAGACCTTGAATGATGTTACAAAATCATGGATAATAGACTCATTCAAAACACAAGAAATGAAAATGGATTTTAATGTAACAAAATGAGAAGTTCAATGAGCTCTACCTGATAAAGCGCTATTTAGAAAGGACTAAAAAAGAACATTTTTGTCAATGATGTATGTAAGCACACTGTATAGATTAAATCAGTACAACTCATATGCATATTGTGATTCTGGACTCTTCTATACAGCATAGCTCAGAGTAAATGCTATGATGTCAAATTTACTCAGTGGGAATCCAACCACCCCATTTCCATAGTTATGTGATCAGATAGATTACTTATACTGTATAGTACCGAATTTAGTTGTGTGCAAAGTGGAGAGGTATTGTCAGTACTTAGATCATGCATGTAATAGCCTACATACAGTGCCTGACACTGAATGACATTAAATATTTTTCACTTACTGTATACATACACATATACATCTCACATGCTCTTCCTTTTTCCTAGAAACTTGAACTACCTACAATTAATTGAGGCATTGAGACATTTCTATTTGTAGACTACTATGTATTTTTCCAAGTTCTCCTTCTCATCACAGCACTTTATATGTAAGTTATGTATGCTCCACCAGCGAGTCCATTGTGACAATACAATGCATTGACATCTTTATCAGTTGTTCCATGATTCCATATTAGAACTTCACTCCTGTACAGTGATTTCTGGGAAGAAAAGCATATGAAAACCAAGTGAAATGACACTTCTGAAATGTCTAACTTAGCAGAGATATAAGTGCTCCAACATCAATCAGAAAACCCAAAGCAGCACAAATGCTATGCAGAAGGCACGTGCCTCTCCTGTGGTAGGGCTGGGGCTGAGGACCAGCTGCAGTTTGGGTCCAGGTTACAGACGCCCTGGCATCACTGTGCCTCTGCTGCACAGAGGTAGGTGCCTGAGTCTTCCACCTGGGTGGTTGTGATGTGGAGGGTGCTGTAGCGCTCCTGAGAGTTAACTGTTGCCTTCAACCTTCTGTTCTGCTTTGTCCCTGAAGATATGAAGAAAAGACTGATGAGGCTGCTCCCAGGATTTTGTTGGAACCACTGTACACTTCTCACTGAAGCAGAAAAAGTGCAGTTCAGGGTAGGGCTGGCACCCTCCTGGACACTCAGCCATGAAGGACTCTGCTTCACCTCCAGTCCCTTTGCCCCTGCTTGGAATAGAAAAGCAAGCATATATGACATTGCTGGTTAACCAATGATGCAGTTTCCAAAACTGTAAAATATCCCAAGAAACATCCTTTGAGGGGGTAAGACCTTGTCGGAGCCCTGTTCAGCTCCCCATATCCTCCCTCCCACCCGTGGAAAACCCCTTACCTCCCTCTGGGATAATCCCAACTCACAGAAAATTTGAGCCAACAGAAGCCCCAGCAGAGCTGCCAGTCTTCTTCTCATGGCTCCTTGCCTGGTTGTTGGGATGCTGTCACTCCTACTCTACTGGTTATTAAGTCTTGGGTCCAGACTTTGTTCTTATAGTAAACAGGTTCTGTGAAATTCATAAAGAACTATTCACATCTAAGCTCTGTCAATCATCATAACAGGAAACTCCACCCACCATGTCCCAGTGAGACTGCACAGTATCAGCTCCAACACTGTAAGTGTGAGCAATGCAGGGGAGCAGCAGACAATGTTTCCAGGATGAAAGCTATTTTTTCTTAAACAGTTTATGGAAGAGAAGTGAGAAAGTATGTAAGGACAGTGGATGGTACTCCAGGGAAGAATCAATGTCTCAACTGGGTAAAGCAGAAAAACCCTATGTAGGGTTCGAATTCAACAATTTGAAAATAACATGCATTTAATGAAATTTAATGGATTGCTTTGTTTACTGAAGTAGTGAGTACAATTTTTTTAAAATTTTTATTTATTTGAGCAGCAGTGAGACAAACACTGACAGATACACATAGAGAGTTTCCAACCATAGGTTCACTCCCTCAGTGTCTACAATGGCTGTGAATGGGCTAGACCAGGCTGAAGCCTGTATCCAAGAGCACAATCCAGAACTCCCACTTGTTTGACAGAAACCCAGTCACTTGAGCCATGATGATACCACCCAAGGTATATATTGGCAGGAAGCTGGAATCAAAAGTCAAAGCTAGGTATCAAACTCAAGCTTTCCAATGTGAGAACAGAAGTCTTAATCTGAGTCTGACCAAACTCCCCTTCCAAATGCAAATTCTTCTTGGGCTCACACCGTGGCGCAGTGGGTTAAAGCCTGGGCCTAAAGTGCTAGCATCCCATATGGGTGCCGGTTCTAGTCCTGGCTGCTCCACTTCCGATCCAGCTCTCTGCTATGGCCTGGGAAAGCCGTAGAAGATGGCCCAAAATCTTGGGCCCATGCCCCCTCGTGGGAGACCCGGAAGAGACTTCTGACTCCTGACTTTGGATCGGCTTGTCTCTGGCCATTGCAGCCATTTGCGGAGTGAACCACCGGATGGAAGACCTCTCTGTCTCTACCTCTCTCTTTCTGTAACTCTTTCAAATAAATAAAAAATAAATCTTTTAAAATAAAAAAGACAAATGTAAATTCTTGAAATCATAAGAGTTCTAGAAACTCATGACAAATGTTCACTATCTGCATAGAAAATGGTTCTAATAGGAGTTAAGGTTTTTAAGAGATATGTGTATGGTATCTATTCTAATTTAATTTCTAATTCTCCCCTTTTGCCCAACTCTCTCCTCATTCACCCTGAATCCCACATAGCAGATTCTGATCTTGCCACACATGGATGGTCAAATTAAGTATTGTCTTCTTCCTTTTCCTCTTCTATTTTTGTTCATTAGCTTTTCTTCTATTTATCATTTTTCCTTCTAGACTCAGAGAGGATACATGAACAGATCCAACATCTGAAGTATGGAAATAATTTTCAGGACAGTGAGTTTGGGAAATTTTAATAATACAAAGTAAAATTTGAAAACAGAAAATTAAAATGTTTTCTGTTGAGCTTCTGTGCTCACAGCACCCAGTAATATCCAAGTTCTCTTGCCTCTCCTCAGAGAATCAACCACCCAGTGAATTTAGAGAACTCCGGGCTCAAGCTCTCTGAAGTTCTGCAGAGGACAGCTAATAACCTGAAATGAACTACACACAAACATACCCTCTCCTGCACCCTCCTTGTGTTTGACTGCTATCTGTTGTCTAGTCTCTCCTAAGTCCAGCTCTTGGAACCCTCAGAAAAAGTCATTGTTAGCGAAGCCCAGAGTGCCCCCTAGTGGACAGAAACCATCAACAAAGACTACTTCAGACCAACTAACTGTTAATCTCAGTAGTCACACAATACCACCTCCTTTCATTCCAGGTTCCCGATGGAAAAAATGCAGGTGATCAGAAAACAAAACCTCTGCCTAGACCTCATCGCGGGCTGTAATTTGATTTCTCTAAGTCAAAATAAATCCATAAATATACATTAAAATTTTACTGTTAGTGAGCAATTTACTAGGCTTTACCTATACAGGGTACTTCAAAAAGTGCATGGAAATGCAAAATTAAAAAATAAAGTTTATATTGGTGAAGGAAATTTTGAAATACATGCATGCAAGTAAATAAAATGCGCTGAAACACTACTTTTCTGTCTATGGAGACCACAAAAACACACATAACTATAATACAATTAAGGAGAACCCCAAAAGAAGTGTACAATAAAAGCTGAACAAATCCAGAGGCAGGAGAAATACTGACACATGGAGCGATTGGACAAAACATTACAAGATACATATGTCACTGTCTCTTTCCCTTTCCCGATTCTGAGTAAGTGAAGAGAGTATGGATGAGCCCTTATGAGAACTCTTGTGAATTTTTACTGATTTTAGCATTAAGGAGAATTCACAACTAAACACACTGTCAAGAATAGTAAAACATTGCTTGGAGATTAAAATCCCATTTAACTACCACACTGAGTTCTAGTTCTTTCACATTTACTACTCTTATTCTTTATTCACCTTAATTACTTGGAGGCATGTGTTCAGGAGTTTTATTCTAGATTTCCATACAATACTAGATTTGAAGAAACTGAATATTTATAAGTATATTGTATTTTATTATAGTTTATTTAACACAGGATGATGTATTTTATACATAATTTTCTGGAACTTACTTTTTTTTAAGATTTTATTTATTTATTTGAAAGAGTTACACAGAGAGAAAAGGAGAGACAAAGAGAGAGAGAGAGGTCTTCCATCCGTTGGTTCACTCCCCAGTTGGCCACAATGGCCAGAGCTGTGCCAATCCGAAGCCAGGAGCCAGGAACCTCTTCTGGGTCTCCCATGCGGGTGCAGGGACCCAAGGACTTGGGCCATCTTCTACTGCTTTCCCAGGCCATAGCAGAGAGCTGGATCGGAAGTGGAGCAACCGGGACTTGAACCAGCACCCACATGGGATGCCAGCACTGCAGGTGGTGGCTTTTCCCACTACACCACAGCACCGGCACCTAGAATTTACTTTTTAAACTCAATAGTCAACTTGTACTAACACCTATAGGTCCTTCTGCTCCATTGTCCCACATTAGGGATAGCCGTGAGTGGATGCCACCCTTCCCCTAGGAATGAACACTTATGGTGTTTTTCCTTTTTAAACTATGGAATACAACACTGCAGCAAGCCCTGTGAAACATTCCTCTTCATTCACACGAACCACAACTACAGAGAAGAGGAGGAGGTAAAAGACAACTCATTTGATCCCTACGTGAAAAGTACCCAGGGCAGAGGGAGGATCAGGCAGAGAGGGACAGAGGCACTGGGGAAGAAGGGAGTGGCTGCACACGACGCTTATTGTGCTTCAGTTTTGTTTTGCATGATTTTCCTTTAGGGGCATTTGTTGGTGCATTTAATAAATTCTCTCTGAAAATACTGTCCTGGCGTATAACCAGTGTGGAGTTTCCTCTGACAAGCCACTGAGGTCATTCTAAATATAGTAAATCAACAAAAGGAAAAGAGGACAGCTGACACAGGGAAAATGTTCTAGAATAGCTTTGAGCATAGAAGATTCTCTGTGTGTGTGTGTGTGTGTGTGTGTGTATAAGACAGACAGACACACACACACACAGAGGGAGCGAGAGAGAGAGAGAGAGAGAGAGAGAGAGAGAGATGATAGATATAGAGATAGGTAAATTAAGGAAACTTTAAGAACAAGTTTCATTTTCTAAATCAGTAGAGAGAAAAAGAAAGCTTCATCAATGTTACTGAAGAAAAAGAAGAAGAAGACAAGAGCATGCCAATCAATGTCAAACACTACAAAGACTCTATGGTGGGGCCAGCACTGTGGCATAGTGGGTAAAGCCACTGCCTGCAGTGCCAACATCCCATATGGCACCGGTTTGAGTCCTGGCTGCTCCACTTCCAATCCAGCTCTCTGCTACGGCCTGGGAAAGCAATACAGGATGGCCCAAGTCTTTAGACCCCTGCACACACATGGGAGATCTGGAAGAAGCTCCTGGCTCCTGGCTTCAGATCTGCACAGCTCTGGCTGTTGTGGTCAATTGGGGAGTGAACCAGCAGATGGAAGACCTCTCTCTCTCTCTCTCTTTCTGTCTCTTTGCTTCTCCTTCTTTCTCTGTGTAACTCTGATTTTCAAATAAATAAATAAATCTTTTAAAAAATAAAGACCCTATGGTAATCAGAAATATGTATCAAAAATTATCAGAATGAATCCAAATTAAAAATCTTTCTGCACACTTTGTATGAGACAAACCTAAAATAAAACAAACAAGAAAGCTGAGAATCAAACATTTGGTGTAGTGGTTAAGCCATGAGTTAAACACCTGTTTTAGGTCTGGCATTGTGCTCAGAGGATAAAGCCACCACCTGTGATGCTGGCATCCCATTGGGTGATGGTTCGAGTCCCAGCACCTGATCCACCTCCCTACTAATGGCCTGGGAAAGCTGCAGAAGATAGTCCAAGTGTTTGGGCTCCTGCCACTCATGTGGGAGACACGGATGAAGCTCCTGGATTCTCTCTCTCTCCTCCTCCTGCTTGTCCTCCTCCTCCTCTCCCTCTCTCTGTCTATCCCTCTATCTGTGTAACTCTCACTTTAGAAATAAATAAAATAAATCCTTTTTTAATAAATCTTTTTTAAAAAAACATATAAAACAAAAAAGAGGGGGTTGGCACTGTGGCATAGCAGGTTAAAACCCTGGCCTAACGTGCAGGCATCCCATATGGGCGCTGGTTCAAGACCCTGCTCTCTCCACTTCTGATCCAGCTCTCTGCTATGGCCTGGGAAAGCAGTAGAAAATGGCCCAAGTCCTTGGGCCCCTGCACCCGTGTGGGAGACTCAGAGGAAGCTCCTGGCTCCTGGCTTCGGATGGGCACAGCTCTGGCCATTGCGACCAATTAGGGAGTGAACCAGTGGATAGAAGATATCTCTCTCTCTCTCTCTCTCTCTCTCTCTCTCCCTCTCCCTCTCCTTCTCTCTGTGTAACTCATGTTCTTTCTTATATGTATGGGCTTAAATTAAACACACACACACACACACACACACACACACAAAGTCTGTGTGTATCAGTATTGCTGCAAATGTAGTTTTGTAAAATTTTGTTTTTATAACTTTGGCAAACCAATGGTTAAGGTTGTTATACTACTATAGTTTTAGTGATTTATGACTCCTAAAAATTTGCGGTATATGGGTGTAATGGTCATGTTTCCATTCAATTATTGCTTATTTGTTTATTGCTATTGTCTATATTCCCACTAAACTAGGATCTTTTTGCTTTTTACTTGTTAAAATTCTTATTCGTGGAAGTGTTAAGTTTTTTTATTATAATGTAAATTTAAAATACATTATCTCAAAAACTTAAAAAAAGAGGGAAGGAAGGAAGGTTGGTGGGAGAAGGGGGAGATAAAGGTAGGGAGGGGGGAAAGGAATATCATGTTCTTAGAGTTATATCTACAGGGGGTCAGCACTGTGGCACAGTGGGTTAAAGCCCCAGCCTGAGGCACCGGCATTCCATATGGGCGCCGGTTCTTGTCCCAGCTGCTCCTCTTCCGATCCAGCTCTCTGCTATGGCCTGGGAAAGCCGTGGAAGATGGCCCAAGTCCTTGGGCCCCTGCACCCCCATGGGAGACCCGGAAGAAGCTCCTGACTCCTGGCTTCAATTTAGCACAGCTCCGGCTGTTGCGGCCATCTGGGGAATGAACCAGAGGATGGAAGACCTCTTTGTCTCTACCTCTCTCTGTAACTCTGTCTTTGAAATAAATAAAATAAATCTTTAAAAAATTACACTTACAAATCACAATTAATCTGTTAAAATGAATTAAGAGCCTAGGGTGATTACTGATGCCATAAACAAGAGTGTCAATTTGTTAAATCAACAACAGGAGTCACTGAGCACTTACTCCTCATGTAGGATCTTTGTCCTTAGTGTGCTGTACATTGAGATTTAATGCTATAACTAGTACTCAAACAGTATTTTTCACTTTATGTTTCTGTGTGGGAGCAAACTGTTGAAATCTTTACTTAATGTATGCTAAACTGATCTTTTGTATATAAAGAGAAACGAAAATGAGTCTTGATGTGAATGGAAGGGGAGAGGGAGTGGATAATGGGAGGGTTGCGGGTTGGAGGGACGTTATGGGGGGGAAGCCATTGTAATCCATATTCTGTACTTTGGAAATTTATATTCATTAAATAAAAGTTAAAAAAATTAAAATTAAAAAATTTAATAAAAGAGAGAGATCCTGGATTTGATTTCTGTTTGTGGCTCCCAATTCCAATTGTTACTACTGCAGATACTGGGAGGAGCAGTGATGACACCTGTGATGGGCTTTCTGCCATTCACAGGAAAACCCTATGGAGTCCCCGGCTCCGAGGACCATTGCTGGCATTTGGTGAGTGAATCATGGAATGGGACATATCTCTCTCTCTCTAATAATTTTTAAAGTAAAATAAGAAAGTTGACCATATAATACAAACAACACTACATGGCAAGAAATTATAATTTTCTTAGCTATTTGAAAACTATTTGGAGAGTAGAACTTGTACTACTTTCTAGAATCTCTAATATTTGAAATGAAGTGATGCCAAATGTCTTAAACTTTGAATTTCAAATGGTGAGTTACTAGGGTTTTCATGAATCACTTAAAGGTTGTCCTATTTCCTTCCTTTGTACATCTACTTGTGTAAGAAAAAATTTAAAGAACGTCATCATCTTGGAACACAACATCTTAGCATTACACTGCAAGATCCGGGTGCCTGCAGCAGCTCTCAGCCACAAGTCGAAGCCACTCATGAGTCCTGTGCAGAGGGTTTGCAGTGACTTACGAAGATATTTTCGTTAGCATTCCACTGAACAGAGCATCTACGCACAGTCTTTGTTTCTCTAAGTGGTCACAGATGTAATTGATATCTATGTTCTTCCTTCTGTTCCTACTGGGTATTTCTCAAGCCTTCAGCCAAGTTCTCCACTGATCTGGGTGACTCAAACTTTTATTCCAGAAAGATCTGAGATTGTTCTGCTCCTTTTGGCTGCCGCAGTTATCCATTCAGCTTTACCACTGGGCGAGGAAACACTAAGTGACTTCAAGCATATTTCCTGGTTCCAATGTGTAGAAGCAACTCAATTTCCTCTTCATGGTCAAATCAACTACTGCAACTCATTGACTGTTTCCTTTCATGGTGGTTCATTGGTGAAGGAACACAAATTGTCCAAAAGGTGGTCACATATGCAGAAAGTAAACCCATGTCTGTTTCCCCTAGTGGAAAAATGCTTCCCTTACAGACTAATGCTTCCAAATCAACACAGTATAAAGGTGGCAGGGTGGGAAACTAGAAGTATATTAATTATTAGCTATAAAGACTTCCATGTTTTAGATCCTAGACCCATGTATTATGTCTATGTGGGAGATACCAACATATAATGGTCTCTGATTCAAATCACCTGCTGCATTTTAGGAAGCAAATCCCCACCCCTTCAGGGTGCTATCTTCACTCGTGCTGTAAGGCAGTCTTCAGTAAGCCATTCCACTTGTCAATTGGGCTGACTGCAGCTGGGTGACGGGGTATGCGGTAATATCAGTTTCATTTTTTAAGATTTATTTATTTATTTGAAAGGTAGACTTACAGAAAGGGAGAAGCAGAAGCAAAGAGAGAGAGAAAGAGATTTTCTATCAGCTGGTTTACTTTCTAAATGGCCACATGGTAGGGCTGGGCCAGGCTGAAGCCAGGAGCCAGGAGCTTCATCCAGGTCTCCCACATGAGTGAGGGAGCCAAGCACTTGGGATATCCTCTGCTACTTTCCCATGTGCACCAGCAGGTAATTAAATTGGAAGTGGAGCAGCCAGACTCAAACCAGCTCCTATATGAGATGTCAGCACTGGAGGTGGTAGCTTTACCCACTATGCCACAGCTCCGGCCCCTGCTGATTTTATTTAAAATCAAAACTCTTATGAAAAGCCAGAAATATTAATTTCATGGATAAAATAATGAAGGATTTCTTATTTTATAATATAAGGCTTTATTGTGGGAATTTTCTCATGAAAAGCATTTAATAGTATAAAATACACATATTTGGAAGGAAGGAAGGAATGATGGGTGGAAGGAAAGAAGGCAGGAGTTTACCTTGATTTCTTAGGTAGCGTTGTGGCTGGGGAAGATGCCCTCTAATCAGGGGTCCTTGGTGTAGAACTTACTTGTTCTTTGATAGCAAACTTGAGTCCATCAGAAGAAACTGAAAGTTCTCACACACATCTTAAGAAAGCGCCAACCATAGACCTTTCAGGCAATGTCACTGAAGATGGTAACGGACCTGAAATTAGCCCTCTGGCTGCAATTACTCAAGAGCACAGTGCCAAAGATAAAAAAGAGAGGGAGTGGGGAAAGGAAATAGTAAATGACTACTGATTTGTTTTTCACAACTTTTGTCTTTACTCCCATCTGCCTTCCTAAACTCTCCCAGCAATCACTCAAATCCAGGTTGCACATATAAACATATCATTATGTCCTAAACAGACTGATGGCCTGCTTTGCTATTAACTAATGGGTAATACTGGCCACACCTACCTCTTCTGTTTACATGGTGAGGGCTCCTGTGCACAGGTCATGTTACATATCATATTGTGAGCCAAATAACAAGGAGAGAGCGGCCCCCTCCTCCTTTCCCATTTTCCCCAGAATATTTGTTTTACATCAATGCTCCTAGCTCCCAGGCGTCTAAAATCTTGTTCATCCTAGACAGAAATATTCAATTCTTACTAGGCCAAATGACTTCCTAGTGTCCACTGAAAATTCACACCAGTATTTCCAGCAGAGATTAGCACTGGTGAATTTACCAAATGATTGGTCAATACGATGTTGGCATATAAGGCTCAATCTTCAACACTTCAAATGTGGAATCATATAAACACAGTGTGGAGGCAATGAGAAAACTGCAGTAGCTACAAGAAAGAAGGAAAAGGGATCACTCACCAAATTTCTGAGGAATGTTAGCAGAATGAAAGATAGCAAAATAATAGGAAACGACTTTCGTGGCTGTGAAAGTCTTTGGAGAAACACTTTATAATGAGCTCTAAATCCTCATTTTCCCACACTTTTCTTAAGTAACTGTGGGCTCTCACAGGATTGAGTTTTCCTTGCCCTTCATGATTCTAATCAATCTCCTAATGTTGCCAAATAAATGTCACAATCTCCCCTAAATAGAAGCACTTAAATTCTGACAAAGTGGTCTGCCCCATTAACGGCAACAGAGTGGGAACATGAATTCCAAGAAAATCTGCTATGAATAACCAAGTAGACAAGGAGGCCACACTCCCATAAAATGCTCATCTTTGGTTTTCTCCATTAGTTGAGATTCACAGATGTAAATTAGAAACCCAGCTTCTCCCGGCCCTGCCCCCACTTAGTAGCTGAGAGCTCCTTCAGGCAGCCCAGCCCAAGTCCTTGAGGACTCGACTCTTACACGGTAAGAACACAGTCTCCCCGTCATTCTAGAACACTGACGCTGGTATAATGTAGTTTTCACAATGTACGCAGGACTCTTTAAATAAAGTTTATGACCTGGAGCACAACAGGATTTGAAGAATAATATGGACCAAGTCATTGTTTCTCATAGTGTCCATTTCACTTCATCAGGTTTCCTTTTTGATGCTCAGTTAGTTGTCACCAATCAGGGCGAACATATGATATTTGTCCCTCTGGGACTGGCTTATTTCACTCAGCGTGATGTTTTCCAGGTTGATCAGCCCTTATCATCACTGTTGATGTACAAATTAATACTATATCCCTTTTAGTATTTTTGATTGTTCTACTTAATACCATTGGTTGAGCTATGTAATTAACACACAATTATTCTTAGGTGTTTAAAGTTAACTGAAAAGTGATCTCTGTTAAATATAAGAGTGGGAATAAAAGAGGGATGGGATGTACAATTTGGGACATGCTCAAGCTGACTTGCCCCAAGTGGTGGAGGTAGAAATGTGCCAGGGGATTCCAATACAATCCCATCAAGGTTGCATGTACCAATGCCACCTCACTAGTCCAAGTGATCAATTTCAGTTCACAATAGACCATAATGATAGGTCTAAGAGTCAAAGGGATCACATAAACAAGAATAGTGTCTGCAAATACTAGCTGATAGAATCAAAAAGGGAGAGAATGATCCAACATGGGAAGCGGGATACACAGCAGACTCATAGAATGGCAGTTGTCCTAAACAGCACTCTGGCCTCAGAATCAGCCCTTGAGGCATTTGGATATGGCTGAAGAGCCCATGAGAGTATTTTAGGCATGGAAAGCCAAGACACTCTGGCAAAAACAAACAAACAAACACCTGAATGAAAGATCTCTGCAAGTGAGATCCCAGTGGAAAGAACGGGCCATCAAAGAAGGAAGTACCTTTCTCTGAAGGGAGGAGAGAACTTCCACTTTGACTATGGCCTTGTCAAAATAAGATCAAAGTCAGCGAGCTCAGGGGGCTTCCATGGCCTTGGCAACTCATGACTAGAACCTGGGGGATTGCTGACGCCTTAAACAAGAGTGTCAATTAGTTAAGTCAACAACAGGAGTCACTGTGCACTTACTTCCCATGTAGGATCTCTGTCCTTAATGTGTAGTTCAATGTCAATTAATGATATGACTAGTGCTCAAACAGTATTTGGCACTTTGTGTTCTGTGTGGGGGCAAACTGATGAAATCTTTACTTAATATATACTAAATTGATCTTCTGTATATAAAGATAATCAAAAATGAATTTTGATGTGAATGGAATGGGAGAGGGAGCGGGAGATGGGAGGGTTGTGGGTGGATGGGAAGTTATGGGGGGGGGGAGCCATTGTAATCCATAAACTGTACTTTAGAAATTTATATCTACTAAATAAAAGTTAAAAAGAAGAGGAAGAAGAAGAAGAAGAAGAAGAAGAAGAAGAAGAAGAAGAAGAAGAATGTAGAAGCACCAGGGTCTCAGCCCAGCTCTCTCTATCTCCTTTATCATCTTATAACAGGAAATCTTTTAAAAAGGAAAAAAAGAAAAGAAAACCACAAGAAGAGCTCTCAGATCTCCCCTCCCCGGAGGTTTGTGTCCGGCTCCCCCTGCAGGCCCAGGCGCTGTGGCACTCACAGCAGCGCAGAAGTACCGGGCCGCGTCGCTCCCCTGCACTGAGGCTTTCCTCAGGTGGAAGGAAGACTCGCTCTTCTTAAACTCAGCCTCAAAGCCTCTGATGCCAGAAACCAAGGCATTCCCTGACAGGTACTTGAGGAGAAGCTGGGGGCCTTGGCCGGGGTGCTGGACGTACCAGAAGAGAGAAACAGATGCCCCATAGGAGTAGTTGCACCTCAGCTCCACAGCGGCTCCTTCAGACACAGCGACCTGGGCATCGGGCTGGGTCACGGTCTGGGCGCTGGTGTCTCCTGGAAAAGCAATGCGGGCCATGAGCGCAGTGCTGGATTCCCCGTGAAAAGTAAGCGTTTCCAGCCAGAACCTGTGGAAGCCGAGACCACAGAGAAACTTTACTCACTCAGGGCCCACTGGAGCCCTAGCACCGGGATGAGCAGCAGGAGCATGGCCGAGGCGTGGAAACACTGCAGGCTCTTTCTGGAAGATCTCCCGAGGGCAGGCAGGAGAGTGGCCGTGGAAACCAAGACCTTGGAATCCAGATATGTGGGGAAAGTCAGGCTGTGCAAGTTCCTTGCTTAAGTAAAAGCACAAAGGCTCTAAAATGAGGCTGAATGGTTTTGATCCCTGATTCTTGCACTTGTCTCTGCAAAGATCTCAGTGAACTGCGGCAAAGAGGAGCATCTGAGATCATCAGCAAAACCAAGATCTCTCGTCTGCGCAGCATCGCCCTCTGGAGGTCAGTCGAGGAAACACAGGCCCCCAGGCGCTTGAGCTTGTTACCATGTTCTAGTTCAGAGGATACATCAAAAGTGCCACAAACAGGGTTATCTATCCCAAGTCACTCACTAAAAACTTGTTGCTAAGAGAGAGTGTATCTGGTTTCCAATCCAAGTCCATGAGACTCATTGGAATCCGACCAGTTGCCTCAGGCTGAGCTTTCCATGACCAGGTTCTGCCTTGGTGGTGATGGAGGAAGGTAGAGATATGTTCTTTGGGATCCATAAAATAATAGTATCGTCCCTGTATAAATAACCAGGCATAGCTATGAATTGGAGGCCTTTACCACTACAGCTAAAGGAAACACATCTACAGAAAACGCTGGGGGCCATAATAGATCCAATCACACAGATTAATCCCCTAAACATGAGATCGGAGAGATTTCAACATTTTTTCTGTGGTCAATGGAAACATTTTTGCAAAATCAAATGCTTCCGTTCTGTGATTCTTTGAGCAGGAACCAAGCCCTCTGGCTGGATCATTCATTCATTTGCCCCTACCTGCCAAGATTGCCCTCACATGGAAGGTTGGGTGACCATCCGGTTTTTCAGTGTGGAGTCTATGGCTGTGGACCTCTGATACCTGAGACCCATGTATGTATATACATGCTCATTCCCTTCACTTTCAGATTTCTTCCTAACTAAAAGCACAGACATATAAAAGGGAATAAACCAAAATGCATAAGAGTAAGAATAAAGCTCATCTGAAGAGGAAAGATTTCTACGTAGTTCCAGAAGACAGAAAGTATATGAGATTATACTGATAGTTAGAATTTGGATGGGAAATCATAGTCAAAAACAAGCCATGAGGAGCCATTTCTACTGGATTTCTGGTTGATGGCAATTTTAACTCATCTTAAAGTTGCTGTGAATTGGCCAAACCCAAAGTGTGCAAAGTCAAAGGCCACAGGATTTTGTGATGCCGTGGAGCAGTGCTGCTTCCTCTGTACTGGAAGAATGCAAAGAATTCTCCAATTCTGTGGTGGCAAAAGCAACACCTCATCATTGAAGAAGAATGCAATCAGCAACGTCCTTCAAATATGGGCATTTGGCACAGCAGTTAAGACACTGGAGAAACCTGTATCCCATTGTGGAGGGCCTGTTTCAATTTGCAGATCCACTTCTGACTGCAGCTTCCTGCTAATGCGGACCATTGGTGATTGCCCAAGGGGTTGGGTCCTGCCGTCAGCATTTGAGATGCAGAATGGGTTCAACCTGGCCCATCCTGTGTGTGCAAGGCATTTGGGAAATGCATGAATATATCTGAGACACACACACACTCTCTCTCTCTCACACACACACACAAACACACGCACGCACACACTAGTAAAATGAAATTAAATACATAATTTTTAGAAAAGAAACACACCTAATTCAGTAGTCTATGCTCAGTTAAGAATGTGGACAGCATTCTGAGAAACATGTTAACTGCAATGAAGATGGATGAGTCTTCACATGCAGTGTAGAAGACCGCTATTCATGCCCCATTAAAATCTAAGAAAAATAAAAAAAATCTTTAATAAAGGAAAAGGAAACTAAAGCAGTAAATGTGATTATATAGATAAACTAGTGGTAACATGGAGTAAGTCCTCCATGAACTCACATGGATGTAACTTGTATCAGAACTGCAAATATTGACTACATACCATCTCAATATGTTCTGGCACAAAACAGGCACAAATAATCCTTTTCTTTTTTGAACAAATTCGTTTAATTAAAACCTGGTAGCCTTTTTGTAGCAGTAACAAATTTTCCTACCCATTTATTAATTGAACAAATATTGAAAGATGTTTTACTATAACACAAGCACTATAATGGCAGAGAATATAGAAATGTATACAAGACAAAATTGCTTCTCTCAAAGAGAATAAAATCTATTGAAGGAGAGAGAAAAAAGTATGTGTGGATATACATATTACGGAGAATTAAGAAGCAATACATTGCACATACTAAGCAATGAGAGGTGATATTAGTGTTTATTGTAGACTTCACAAAAATGAGATTTGAGAAAAAGTTGGAACAGGAGCCATGTACATATTCAAGTGGGTAGTTTCTAGACACAGCAAGAAGTGAAAAGACCCAGGGGTGGCGCTGAACAGAGTAAGGATTACTACTCACAGCGTCTGAATGAATAAAACATTCAAGTCAATACAACAGCTTTGGCTTTTACCCTTTCAGAAATAGGAAATGGTTGGTTGTTGGGTGTGGGGGAAATATCGTTGCTGTTTTTGTCTGTTTGCTTTGGGAGAACTTCTACTTATCTTTTAAAAGGATCACTCTAGCTGCCATCTGAAAAGCAGACTAAATTGAGCAAGGTGAGAAGCAAGATGGCAGCTAACACATTCTGAAATGCCACAGGCAAGGGTCGCGGGGGCTTCAACTGAGCTGACAGCAACACAGGTGCTGAGAAATGGGCAGTCTTTTTAGACTTAAAAGGGGAACCACTGAATTTCTTTATTTTCTTTCAAAATCCATACTTTCAGGAAAATACAGTATATTTTTTTCTTGTTAGAACTTTACCTCTTTTTAACACCTTTGCTAAAGTATAAATTGACTTTTGTAAAGTTCAGCTACTTGAACTGTACAGTTCCATGCTTGTAGATGTGTTCAGTGTTGTACAAACATCACCACAATCAATTAGACAGCATTTTATCACCTCAAAGAGAAACCCAGAACTCATTATCAACCCTTCATTTCCTCTCACTTATTCCCTGTCACCTAGGCAACTGGAAATCTGGATAACTGATGTCTCCATAGGTTTGCCTATTCTGGAAATCACATATGAATAGATTCAATACGTGGTCTTTTGTGACTGGCTTCCTTCACTTATTTTCTCATACTTTCAAAGTCCATGTTGTAGTATGCATCACTTATTCATTCCTTTTTAGTGTTGGATAATGCTCCATCCTGTGAATATAATACATTTTATTGTCCCATTTGTCGATAGACAATTGATTGTTTCTGCATTTGGCTATCATGAATGATTCTAATATGAACATTTCTCCACATCTTTTTGTGGATACAATTGGGGAGCAACAGGGAGCAACTCAGACTAGACTAAGTTACTGGAATTAAGACTTATTCTATGCATCTGCTTTCCCACAATATGGCGCTGAGAAGGGAAACAGCTTCTACACAGCTGCCTCCAGTTCAACCAATAAACTGTGGGACCTGCTCCTGATTGGAGGAGAGCAGCGTACTCGGCGTGTGGGCAGCCGAGTTGGAATTGGCGGAGGAGGACTATAAAGGAGGAGAGAGACGGCATGCACCAGGAACATCTATCTGAAGGAACACCTGTGCAGCCCCCGAGAGAGCCAGCCGGCGGTGTGCTGCTCCCCCGCGGAAGTGGGGAAAGTGGCTAGGGGGAACCGCCCTTCCACGGAGGTGGAAGGGACAGTAGCCAACCCGGGAAGAACCAGCAGCAAACCCGGGGAGGGCCGAGCAGACAAAAGAACAGCGCAGGGTCCTGTGTCGTTCCTCCATGAAGAGGGGGAGCGACATAATGGTGCTGTGACTCGGATACGAAGCCTAGGCAGGGTTTAGCGTCGTTCCTCCACGAAGAGGGGGAGCGACAAGGAGCCAGGTGCTTCCTCCTGGTCTCCCATGCGGGTGCAGGGTCCAAGCACATGGGCCATCCTCCACTGCACTCCCAGGCCACAGCAGAGAGCTGGACTGGAAGAGGAGCTACCGGGACAGAACTGGCGCCCCAACGGAGACTAGAACCCGGGTGCCAACTCCATAGGCAGAGGATTAGCCAAGTGAGCCATGGCACCGGCAAGACTCTGTTATTTCATAACCCATCTCAAAGTTTTAGTTCTGCCACTAATACTGTACAGTCTTTTTGCTTTTATTTATACAAAGGGAACCAATTTCATGCATTTCATATATACAAGTTGGTTTTTTTTTTTAATTTATTTATTTACAAAGAGAGGGAGAGACAGAGAGAAAGGTCTTTCATCCTCTGGTTCACTCCCCAGAATACCAAAAAGATCAGAGCTGAGGTGATCAGAAGCCAGGGCCAGGAGCCTCTGGGTCTCCCATATGGGTGCCAGGGCCCAAGCACTTGGGCCATCTTTCACTGCTTTCCCAGGCCATAAGCAGAGAGCTGGATCGGAAGAGGAGCATCCAGGACTTGAACCAACACCCATATGGGATGTTGGCGCTGTGGTGTAGTAGCTTAAGCCTCTGCCTGCAGTGCCTTAACCTATTGCGCCACAGTGCTGGCCCCTCACATATACTGTCTGAATAGCATAATGATACTTCCCACCCTGCTACTCCCAATTCCACACTCTTTTCTCCTCCTTTTCTTCTTTTTCTTTTAATTTTTACAATGGCGTTCTTCCAATTTCCTTTACAATCACTAGCTTACCCTCCACTAAATAAAGAATTCATCAAGCAGTAAGTAGAAAAAACATTGTTCCTCAAGAGTATACCCAAGGACTATAAACAATAATGAAATCTCCGTGTATGATTAATCTTATGAGTATAAAATTAACTGAAAATTGATCTTAGTAAAATAAAAAGAATGGGAAAGGGAGAGGGAGGAGGAAGAAGGGTGGGTATGTGAGTGGGAAGGAGGTAAGGGGGGATGAATCACTATGTTCCAAAATTTGTATATATCAAATGCATCAAGTTTGTATTCCTTAAATAAAATAAGAAAGTCAAACTTCATTCTTATCATTGCAAAGCATAAAATCTCATACTCTGTCCTTTACCATTGTTTTATAGTACCTTGATCTCTTGAAATAATATTTTATGAAATTTCTATTTTTAATCTGAAAGATATATATGTAAATATATATTCTGTTCTGACACAGAGTGAAGTTAGAAGAGCTGTGTTTACACCAAATTTAAATTGGGCAAAAATATTTAAAATAACCATAAAAGCAACATTCTGATAAATTTTGTATGGTTAAAAAAATACTAGTGGAGGAAGGATACCTGAATGTGAAATTTTGGGAGCTGGAATATTTATTCTAATGCTTCATAAAAATTTTTTTATTTTTTTAATTAGAAAGGTAGAGAGAGATCTCCTCCACTGATTTACTCCTCAAATGCCTAACTATATTCAGGGCTGGAGCTGGCCAAATCTAGGAGCCTGGAACTCAATCCAGGTCTCCTACATGGGCAGCAGGGACACAACTACTTGGAGCTAACACTGCTGCCTCCCAGGATGCACATTAGCAGGAAGCCGGAAACTGAAGCAGAGCCAGGACTTGAACCCAGGCACTCTGAAATGTGATGGTGGTGTCCCAAGCATCCTAACCAGACAGATCATTTAGGTGAGCTCCCCCACCCCCACTCTGGTGTACTGAAATTCTCTCATAATGTGTCATCCACAGCACTTAGTATACCCTTTTTTTTTTTTTTTTGACAGGCAGAGTGGACAGTGAGAGAGAGAGACAGAGAGAAAGGTCTTCCTTTGCCCTTGGTTCACCCTCCAACGGCCGCCGCGGCCAGCGCACTGCGCTGATCCGACGGCAGGAGCCAGGTACTTATCCTGGTCTCCCATGGGGTGCAGGGCCCAAGCACTTGAGCCATCCTCCACTGCACTCCCTGGCCACAGCAGAGAGCTGGCCTGGAAGAGGGGCAACTGGGACAGAATCCAGCGCCCCAACCGGGACTAGAACCCGGGGTGCCGGCGCCACAAGGCGGAGGATTAGCCTAGTGAGCCGCTGCACCAGCAGTATACCCTTTCAATCTGGAAACACATATCACTTATCTCTTGAAAATATTCTTGGATGACTAATTTGATGACTTTTTCCCATCATTGTCTATGTTCTCCTGCCAAAAACTGACAGATAATGAATTTCATGTCAACAGGATTTTCCTTCAGTAGACCCTAGACAATGCCTAACTACCTTGAGTAATGCCTTGCTGAGAAAAAGGCAGCTCACTGAGTTTATTATAGGATATATAAATTTATACATTCTATAATTTCTATACATTTATAGAAATTTCTATAATTTCTGGTCATGAGTCATGTGTTTGGAAAACACTAATCTATTTGTGCAATGTAATTTCCTCTAAAGAAAGACTAAGAATTAATTGATCATCTTTTTCCATAGGTGTGGGAAAACACCTAGGACTCTGTCTTCTATCTTCTTTCTATGTGTTTCATTCCTCATTTAAATACTTATTATTTTGGAGTCTAATGCTTCCCTAGGAAATCATCCTTTCATTTCCCAGCTTGTCAGGGAAACCTGAAGCATTTGTAGCCTCATCTGTCACAGCTGTGTCTCAACACAGTGTCTCCCTGGAAGACCTCAGACAAGGCTAGAAATTCCTGCAAGGATGAACGATTAGACCATTTCATTCAAACTGAGATGCTACACATGGAAAATCATGCATTTCAGGCAGAGTTGAGGAATTAAGGTGAGAGACTGAGTCCACTCTCACTGTCCCTCATCGTGGCAAGTGTGGGGGACAGGGGAAACTTGTCTGCTTTTTTTCTCTCCTGTTTTCTCAGAGCCTACCTGGATGGCTCTCACTCTGAGAGTGCTGGAGTTGCTGGTGAGTGGCAACAGTGTCCCCAATAGACACGCAGCACCAGGCCCTTCCCTGCTGCTCAGAGTTTGTGCTCAGCTCCCCCTGCAGTCCCTGTCACTGTGTCACTCAGAGCACAGTAGTACATGGCTGAGTCGGACTCTTGCACTGAGGATTTCTCCAAGTGGAAGGAGCTGCTGTCTTTGTTGTACAAGGCTTCAAAACCTCTGTTGCTTCCCTTCTCGTTGGCTTTCGTGGCTCTCAGGAGGAGCTGTGGACTTTCCCCAGAATACTGGACATACCAGAAGAGGGCAGGGTACTGGGTGCTTTCATAGGAGCAGTTCACAGTCAGCGAAGCCCCTTCTGGGAGGGTCACTTGGCCTTCAGTCTGGGTCACCGAATCTCCATTGCCTCCTCCTGAAAAAATAATAATAATAACAGTGCAAGTGATCTGGGCTGTAGCCTTTAGAAAAACGTGGTTAAAGACTCCATCACAGACATAATGGAACAATACCAAGCATTAATTGCACTGTACTTACCAAGCAATAAGAACAGCAAAGGCAGTGATCCTAGAAAAGTGTTCATTTTGAACACTTTGTGTTTACACTTCTGAGCATTTGTCCGTGAGTCTTGGCTTCTTAGTAAGAAGAAAGTTTAACAGCACAGTAAAAGGATGAGTTTGAGCTCAGAATTAAAGCAGGAAATGTGTATATGTAGGAAGATGCGCCCTCTTGTGGGCAAGAGACCAAACTCAGAGCATTGTTGTCTCAAATGTCAGTCCTATTCCTCTATCTTCACCTCTGGCTTATTTTCTAAGACATGTGTTAGATCAGATAGTCTAAAAGGAATAGTTGATATTTACCATAGATATATGTATTTTCCCAGCACACTATCAGGCATGTAAACTCAATATCATTACATTTCTGAAAAGGATTTGCCTTACTTTGTCTTACATGTGTAGCCATTTTTGGCTATCTTGTGATCCACTGAAATAACCTAGAAGCAGTTTTAGTATAAAATCAAAGGGATTCCATTAACACATGATTAATCATTAGTAGATTATTTGGGACAGCAGAGAGTTGTTCCTCTCTTCACTACTTTAGTTCCATATCCAGAAGATATCAATTGTAATAAACACATTTTAATAAAAGCTTTTGAGAGAAAAAAAGTAAATTCTAAAAGTTATACATAGATTAAAACATGAAAAATATGTAACTTTTAGCATTTAAGGAATACAGTAATTGGAGTTATTAGATTCCTACAAAATAATCTGCTCTGTCATCATTTTCTTCTCTCCTAGGATTTTAATAATGCCTAGAATTCTTTATAGTATGTCCTTCAAAACATTTGTTGTTCTGATACTAAACATCTAATGAAAATTTTACCTTGAATATGATATCTACATGTGTCTATCTATGCAACTCATTAACCAATATAATTGAATTAATTATTTTCACCACAGTACAGATTCCTCACAGAATCATGATTTGCCTGAGAAAACCAAAGGATGAGCTCAATCTCAGCATTTAGCATAGTTTAGATATTTCACTCTATAGCAAGGAATAAATTTACTTTTATATGAGGTAACTCTTGATTAAATTAATATAGTTTGGCAGTCTCTCCGCTTAAATATAAAACCAAGTCTTCAAAATTAAATTATAGAAAGTAAACAATATCCTCACGTGGTTTTTTTTATTAAGATTTTTTTATTTATATTTTATTTTATTTAATGAACATAAATTTCCAAAGTACAGCTTATGGATTACAATAGCTTCCCCCCCCCATAACTTCCCTCCCACCCACAACATTCCCCTCTCCTACTCCCTCTCCCCTTCCATTCACATCAAGATTAATTTTCAATTATCCTTATATACAGAAGATCAATTTAGCATATATTAAGTAAAGATTTCAACAGTTTGCACCCACACAGAAACACAAAGTGTAAAATACTATTTGAGTACTAGTTATAGCATTAATTAAACACCTAAGAGTAATTGTGTATTAATTACAGAGTTCAACCAATAGTTTTAAGGTAGAACACAAAAAATACTAAAAGGGTAAAGTATTAAGTTCTTTTTTTTCTTTTTCTTTTGTTTGTTATATAGTTATTTTTTATTTAATAAATGTGAATTTACAAAGTGCAGCTTTTGTATTGTTGTGGCTCCCCCCCACCGCCAACCTCCCTCCCTCCCGTGGCCCTCCCCTCTCCCACTCCCTCTCCCATCCCACCCTTCATCGAGTTTCATTTTCAATTACCTTCATATACAGAAGATCAACTTAGTATATACTAAGCAAGGATTTCAACAGGCTGCATTCACACAACTGCACAAGGTATAGGGTATTGTTTGACTAGTAGTGTTGTTTTTAAGTTTCATAGTAAAACACATTAAGGACAGAGATCCTACGTGGGGAGCATGTACCCAGTGACTCCCGTTGTTGATTTAACAATTGGCACTCTTATTTATGACGTCAGCAATCACCCAAGACTCTTGTTATGAGCTGTCTAGGCTATGGAAGCCCCTTGAGTTCACCGACTCTGAACTTGTTTAGTCAAGGCCGTATCACAGTGGAGGTTCCTTCCTCCCTTCAGAGAAAGGCGCCTCTCTCCTTGATGGCCTGTTCCTTCTGCTGGGGTCTTGTTCACCAGGATCTTTCATTTAGATTGTTTTTTGCCACCGTGTCATGGCTTTCCGTGCCTGTGAGACTCTCATGGACCTTTTAGCCAGATCCGAATGTCCCAAGGGTTGATTCTGAGGCAGGAGTGCTGCCATTCTATGAGTCTGCTGTGTGTCCTGTTTCCCCCGCAGGATCATTCTCTCCCTTTTAATTCTATCCGTCATTAGTTGCTTACACTGGTCTTATTTGTGAAATCTCATCAACACATGCCCTATCTTTTGGATTGGTTGTGTATTTATACTTATCACTTTACCAAGTGCACTGGCATTGTCATTAATGCAGTCCAGGGTCAGAGCCTCCTTCTCCTGCATCAACATTGCTGGTTGGGCTTGAGTTGCCATCTGGGAAATGCTGAACTCTGAAGGGAAAAAGAGTCAGGAGGTATAGGGACAAATAGTGTGAGGTGAGTAAATTCAAATTTTTTACCCTGTTATCTTTCCCTCCCAAAGTCCCCACAAGACACTTCCCATACTTCCTGTCCTTAGGTAATGGAGGAGGATCACTCTCAGTGGGCCATCCCTACCCAAGCACATGAAACCATGATCACCTCCAGCAGGCTGAAGAGAAAAATGTTTGAGTTCTTCCCTAGGATGGAAAATACTTTGTCCTTTTTCAATTTCAGGGCTCCACCCTGTGGGTTGACCCTAACAGGCAAGGGAAGAATTTGTGGATTTGTGCCGCTGCTGTACTAGAAAGGAAACAGAGGTTTCCTGGTGTGGGAAGTTGATGTGTGTCATGTCTGACTCCTCTAACAAAAGTCTCATCAAACCCAAATTCCTTCTGAGTTAAGCAACCCAATCTGATAATAACTGAAATAGGCATAAGTATATTAAGATATAAATAGGTATACTGGAAAGAAAATGGTGATTTGAACAACTGCTATGTGTATTAATTGTATCTGTGACAGAATTGGGAGATTGGCAGCTATTTAAAATTGCTATGTGTAATGGCTGATGAAGACAATGCAAGATGTAATAATCACATATCCTCTCAACTATGTGTGCTCTTCCTCTTAAGGTAGAAATTAACCATTTATCATAAGACAAAGCTGTTTGAACTAATCACTGTGTATTTGTTGACATAAAAATCTTCCTCCTCACTTCTGGTATCTTTTCAGTGACCCATCTTAGGGTCAAAAAGCTAAAAAATCAATCTCTTTCTGCTAAGAAGTTTAATATGGGGCTTCAGCCACAGAGTCCTGTCATAAAGATCACCCCCTCTTCTTTGTTTAATTTATCATCTACTTCTATTCATAGAGGCCAAATTAGATATAAGAGTTTGTTATTATACGGCCGGTGCCACAGCTCACTTGGCTAATCCTCCACCTGCAGCGCCAGCACCACAGGTTCTAGTCCCTGGTTGGAGCACCGGACTCTGTTCCAGTTGCTCCTCTTCCAGTCCAGCTCTCTGCTGTGGCCCGGGAAGGCAGTGGAGGATGGCCCAAGTGCCTGGGCCCTGCACCCGCATGGGAGACCAGGAGGAAGCACCTGGCTCCTAGGTTCGGATTGGCACAACGTGCGGACCACAACGTGCCAGCCATAGCGGCCACTTGGGGGGTGAACCAACGGAAAAAGGAAGACCTTTCTCTCTCTCTCTCTCTCTCTCTCTCTCTCTCTCTCTCTCTCACTGTCTAACTCTGCATGTCAAAAAAAAAGAGTTTGTCATTATATTAACAATCATTGAATTTATATTTTTACCATTCCCTGAACTGAGGCCTTAATTGAGCCACAGATAGCTGCTGTACTGTGTGTGCTCGCCTCTGAAGGGAAGTGCTCTATGCAATCCCGTACTTCTTCCTAGGACAGCTTGTCACAGAATCAGTAATTGTGATCAACTTTCCTTGTGTGTGAACATTAAATATAAGGCAAAGTCCTCATGAAATCACTTTAAAAATATGGTGAGCAATAAAAATCTATTGCCTATTATAACCTATTTCTTACTAGAATAGCCAAAGTTAATCCTCCTTGTCTCAAAATGATTTCAATTTTAACTAGGTTCGTTGAAGCATCTTTAGATCTTACACTGGAATGGTCATTAAATCAGATGACATCACATTTATAGTGCCACTGTTCTGCTGTCTAAAAACATAAGGAGAAATTAATTTAAAAAGTTTAAAAATTTCATGCTAAATGTAGAAAATTTGGTTCCAATTTTGTAAAGAAACATTACAATGATTGATGTGTTTATCAACAGAGAAAAAAAAAATACAGGAGACAGAAAGTTTCCTGGTGGCACCAAAAGATCTAAAATGAACACTTGTAAAAATTCCCCAGGGACAATAACAGTAGACCATATTGGCTGCCATATTAGACAAACACTTCTGGGGAAACTTTTCTAGGATACCAAAGAATTTGTTCAGTTAGTGCCTTTCTTAGGATCAAAAATATCTCATAAAAATTTTAAAGGCAGAAGAGGGGCTTGACTACTGACCTAAGGAACTATTTGAGGATCTCCAAAAGGATTTCACACAATTGCATTTTGTGTTTGGACTACAAAGGTGCACAGGTTATAGATTTTTGTTTTCTACATATAGGTATTAAAATGATTACAGAAACAAATAAACATATCTAACATCTTGTGTCATTACTTTCGTGTGTCACAATACAAAAACAATTTTTAATAATCTTAAGTCATTTCAAAAAGGGCTTGTAAGGATAGGAAACCAAGAGTTCTTAAAGCTGTGAACTAAAATGGAATTTCTCCTTAAGATGCCACAGTAGTGCCATGTTTTCCTGAGGAGATACACGATTTAGTCAAATTTGGACCAATACTGTATTTACATATGGTTTCTAATGAAGGTTTATCTCCTACAAATAGAAAGTATAGTGGTGATGACCAGAGACAGGTAAACAGGGAAGGAGGGATGGATAAAGTATAATTAACAGGCACTGAGTTCCAGACAGGAGAAAGAAGTCTGGTGATCTACTGTACAGTAGAGTAACTATACATAGCGATAATACGCTGTGTAGTTTTCTTTCTTTTTTAAATTTAAATTTAAATTTTAAAGATTTATTTATTTATTTGAAAGTCAGAGTTACACAGAGAGAGGAGAGGCAGAGAGAGAGAGAGAGAGAGAGAGAGAGAGAGAGAGGTCTTCCATTCACTGGTTCAATCCTCAGATGACCACAACAGTCAGATCTGAGCCAATCCAAAGTCAGGAACCAGGAGCGTCTTCTGGATCTACCATGTGAGTACAGGGGCCCAAGGACTTGGGCCATCTTTTGCTGCTTTCCCAGGCCACAGCAGAGAGCTAGAGCAGAAGTGGAGCCACCAAGACTTGAACCAGCGCCCATATGGGATGACGGCAATGCAGGATGCGGCATTACCACTATGCCACAGTGCCAGCACCATAGTTTTCTTTCTAAAAAGCTAGAAGAAAGGATTTTGAATAATTTCACCAAGAGGAAATAAATGTTTGAGGACATATCTATGCTCATCCTTTTTTGAATATTACACAATGTGTACATTTTGAAACAACACCCAGTACCACATAACTTTTTATAGTTTTGTGTGTCCATTAAAAATAAATATAAAACCATCTCAAGTAATAAAAAATTAATCTAGGCACAGTTAGCCAACAATATATTCTAAAGTTTTCTTTGTCATCTCGACCTCATCCTTTTTATTCTATGCTTTTAATGTCTGTATGTTAGCTTCCATTTACAAACAAACAGTATAGCAAATACTACTATGCCAAAAGAAAGGAGCTGAGGCTTCAGCTTCAGTCAAAGGTTTGAGTACAGGATGCAGGTGCCTGGGGAGCAGTGTGTACTCGCTACACAAAAGTAGACAGCAGAGTCTCCAGGCTGGGTGGCTGCGATGTGCAGGGAGACGTGCTTGGCCATTTTATTCAATGAAACGGTGAATCTTTGGTTTTGCTGTTTCTCCGTATTTGAGCGAATGTCTATGATGAGCTGGAGCCCTTGCCCAGGTTCTTGTTTATACCACAAAAAGTAGTTTGAAGCACTGTCTGTATAAGTACAGTTGATAGCAGAGCTGTCTCCTTCCCGAACACTCAAAGCAGAAGGATGCTGCTCCACATTTTCTCCTTGGCTCACCCCTGTGCAGAAAGAAAATACAGCCATTAACCCTCCAGAATTTTCTTTCTGAACAGTAAAGAGAGAAAACCTGAAAAAAGTCAGTCTTCTCTTTACAAAGAACATCCTCTAATATACTCATGCTCAAAACCCTCAACTCACAGTCCAGTTGCAACCACAAGAACATGAAGGAAGCCCCCATGGATGTCTTCATGATTCTTTTAAGTTAGGATCGATCCTAGACCGGCAACCTCCAGCCAGGAGACTACTTCTATTCTCAGCTTGTCGCTGCTTTTCTCTGGCAAGCATGGTGGTTTCTCATAATGTCTACCCAGCCAATAAAAAAAGCCTCTGCCTCTTCTGTAAGTCTATTCATTCGGAATCAACTAAAGTGAACTTCCCCATACTCTGCGTCAGGAGAGGCACACTACCATCTTGTGGCCGCATCCCTCAGTGCAACCTCTCTGGGTGAATGTTCTTCTACCTCCTAGAGACTCAAACGCATAAAGCCATCAATAGAGGAAGCCAATTAGGTCTTAGGTTAAGTGCACACTATGTACATAGAGATTATGGTTGGTATTTATGTTTTTGAGTTATTAATAAATTAGAAATATGTACATGATGTTTATTCAGTGATGAACTGAGTTTGAATGTTTGAAATCAAGAAAGCACCATCAATCACTATCATAGGAAAAAATACATATTTTCAGCTAAATCTACTATCATGATTTAAGTATTACAGAATAAAATTACTTCTGAAAAGGACATGCAAGACAAAGATCAGAATAAGAGGGCAGGACAATTAAATGTATCAAATGCATATTTTCTCAAACTCTGCTCCTAAAAACCTAGTCTTGATTGTGACCTTACTATCCTCAGAGAATGGATAATACCAACAGTCAAAATGCATAATTTTCCTTCAATAAAGATGGTTTGTTAAAAAGTAAAAGATCAAGTCTCATTGACCATGGAACATGGGGATAAGTTCCACAAGGCTTTAATACTCCAACTTTAAGAAATATTTTGACCCATAGATAGGTTGATTAGCAATAAATAATCTGAAATCCTTTTGAAATCATTTCCTGTTGCTGTGTGGTTTGTATTTTACTAAGTGATAAAAGAAAGAGTAGAAATTCTCAGAACACCAATCTGGAGATTTGAAAAATGGAAACCCAAGTAGTTTATTCTCGAGATGCTTTTATTCTAAGAGATCAAAATGAATGACATGAAAATGGCATGTCCCTAAGTGTAGTGACTAACATATCCTTAATGGAATTTCCTGCTGCCTTGGCCACTGTTGGCTCGGGTTTCATACTGTATCATTTTCCTCCCAAACTCCATTACAAAAGTCTTTTTCCAAGACATTGATAAATTCCCCCACACTCTGTCAATTTCTTGGTTTTTCTCCTCTGCCAAAAACTCTTTACTGTCTATTTTAATTTCTTAATTTTTTCTGATGTTTATGTAAGAATAAATCTATGGAAGTATAAATGTTATCTATGTCTAGTATAGGAACAACGTAAATAGGATACTGACCGTACAGAATGGACTATGACTCACAGTTCTTGGGAAACCGAGGTTATCTCATTTCCAGCCACTTTCGTATGATTTGTACTCACCAGGCTCCTGGAGGGTAAGAAAATAAAATGAATCCCTCATGCATATCTCTCTCCTTTAAGAATTTGAGAACAGCTATGATGAGTACTCTCAATTCAATATATAACTATAGGAGGCCAGCGCTGCGGCTCAGTAGGCTAATCCTCTGCCTGCGGCGCCGGCACACCGGGTTCTAGTCCCGGTCGGGGCGACGGATTCTGTCTCAGTTGCCCCTCTTCCAGGCCAGCTCTCTGCTGCGGCCCGGAATGCAGTGGAGGATGGCCCAGGTGCTTGGGCCCTGCACCCGCATGTGAGACCAGGAAAAGCACCTGGCTCCTGGCTTTGGATCAGCGCAGTGCGCTGGCCGCAGCGGCCATTGAGGGTGAACCAACGGTAAAAGGAAGACCTTTCTCTCTGTCTCTCTCTCTCTCACTGTCCATTCTGCCTGTCAAAAAAAATTTAAAAAAAATAACTATAGGAAAGCAATTGGATATACAAAATGTGTGATTTAACAAACATAAGAGTTTTCTGTTATAAGGAACTTCTCTCATCCATTCACTACCTGTTCAAATTCTCAAATTCTTCACTGGGAAAAACTTTCTTCTCTGAGACAGATATTTCAAGTTACAAAAGGGCTTCAAATGGTGTGTAACAAATGTATATTATTAAAACTATACATGGATCTCAAAATTTTGCACTAAGGTAAATATATTTTAATTCCAATTTCTTTGAACTTTTTTGAAGTCTCCTCATTTCCCCATTTGAGTTATGGCATCTAGAGCTGAATGTAATGTATTGCAAGGGTGCACAATACTCCATATAATAATTACAGTAGAAGTATGATCAAACCATGGACGAAAAGCCCAGCCCACAATTATTCCATTAATATTTACCAATTCATTGTCAAAGAATCACCACAGAAAAATCTGAACTGTCAGCGGTATGGGAGACAAAGAGCCCCCTTTAGTCTCCTAAACTCATTGACTATTTTTGGTGAAATGTTTGAACTGCTCTCCCTTTGTTCATCGCCTTCCTTAACAGGTTGTCCATCTGCAATAATGAACAGACACTGTCACTTTTAGAAGTTCCTCAGAAATCATGTGAGTGTTAAGGGTGGCACCATCACTTCGGGCTCATTTCTACAAAGGCCAGCGAGTGATAGACTAATCTGCTGGTGGAGTAACAGTGGCTCAGCCTGAGTCTCATTTCTTGCTCAAAATGTTAAACCCTTACACAAATTAGAATATTCCATTCTGATACCAAAGCTAATTGAACCAAGACTTTCCTAGACCAAAATTGCAATTATCGAAGTGACTGGGTTTCCATTGGACAGTTTCTCTTTGCTTGGCAATGTAGTGCTTCAGCTGTTAGGCAGGGGAAAAGAATGCTAAGGACAAAGTGAGGAAATCCAGTTTATTTCTACTCTCAGTTCAATGATTATCTATTTGTTTCATATTGGCATCTTGAACATTGATACTGCCTTTGTAAAACGAAGTTGGACTAAAAGCTTTCTTATGCATCATCTATCTCTAAAACTTCTTATGTTACTTAACAAAGCCATTAGTTTTTGAGGACTGGTTTGTGCAATGGGGGTGCTATGAGAATGAGGAGAAATTGTCCTGCATTAAGAAGCTCCAGGTGCATTTTCACACCCACATGCAATTTATTATGTCTGACGTTACCCCTGACCGATCTAGTCTGTCTGAGGTTATTAATAAAGAATCCTTGGGCTTCATCAGAAACAGAGACTTGTGAGTTCCTAACTTCATTTTCATTCCTTCTGTAGCATCAATGATGGGTGATGGATAAAGGACAGCCCAATCCATAACAAAATGGAATAAAATTATGTTTACTAATGGTAAAGGTCATCACAGTTAGTGATGTGGGTGAGCAGAGTGCCCCTTTATATCCATAGCATGTCATAGCATTGCTCAGTGACATGGAGAAACAGGAAGTATCACATGAGATTAGTAAATGTAAAGCAAAGGGCACTTTCTCACATGATTGCATCCTTTCTACCTTCTGGCTCACTCTTTCCAAGTTTAACGTAAGAGTTCAAGATTCCCTGTGCAGCTGGCAGCATAATTTAGGAGACTCAGTGCAAAATTAAAATTGGGGGTCCTATACCAAACATTCAGGAAAAAATGTCACTAGACAATAAAATATCAAACTGTATTTGAAAATATTTTATTGCTTATAAAACACAATAGGCTTTATAATGATATGCGTTTAACAACACAAATTTACAAATTGCAAAATATATTTTGGTGTCATAGTTTATATCATAAAATAACAATACTGTTAACGTGATGTATTGATTAATATTAAGATTTTCTGGATTGCTTATTTGTAAATTAAAGTATTAGCCTACCAAAATTAACACTTTTAGTAACTTTATTGTCAAGTACCATAATTGAAAGCAATGTCAGTTGCTCTTAATAAATGTAAGATTGCAAAGAGAATTCTTCATCATTTCTAATTTTGAGAAGGATATTTCTGCTGATATGACTAATACTGGAACTCAAGAGTATTTTATATATTGCAACAACATCAGCATGTATACCTGATAAATTAGTTGGAGATATGAGTTTGTGTCACTTAAATGTTTACTTTGTAGAAATAATTTAACTCTCCATACAAATCAGTTGCATGTAAGTCTGAGCTTAATTTAAAGGTAAATGTGTATAGCCACATTTTAACGCTACCTCTAGCATTTTCTGCAACTTGTAGAGGTCACACAAGCAATTAGAACTGGCTTCATAAAACTGGTTTATAATTCAGAATACATGCCAATTAATACTATCATTGTATCTTCAAATACAAGGAAATTAAGTTTTAAATTGTGTTCTATGTTAATATTGTTTCATTGGAAACTTCACATGAAAATAATTTTCTTTTTCTTTATATATAATTTCTATTTCTAAGCCTCATTTATTCACACTGAAATATTGCACCGATTCTCAAAACCAGAGTTTCTAAACTATTTGAAGGACTCATTGTGACTCTGTATGATCCTGACCTATGTTCTCTGCCTCTGTAAAAAATTATCTCATGCACACACTCAGTCTTCTTATTGGACTTCACTTAGAAAAACATCACTTTAAAGATAAAGTTATTAAGAATTTCAAGGCAGCAATAGCAGATCATTAAGCCAAGCACCAAGCCCTTTCTAAAAGCAGGGTAGGGCCCTTTGCACTGCACAAGTCTCAGGCCCAGGAACCCAACACCGTTCCCAGCTTCCCTGGAGTCAGCTTGTGGGTCCCCATCTTAATTCTCAGGGTCCAGCTCCTTCTTAGTCAGTACCCATACTTAATATAAAAATTTCTGCAAGGTTAGAATGCTACATATTGTCATTTATCCACTGCAGGTTTAGACTTTGGGTTTGGTTATGGGCGTCTTGATATATGACTGCAGGAGCAAAGGGTTTCTTTTTTTTTTTTTAACTTTTATTTAATGAATATAAATTTCCAAAGTACGACTTATGGATTACAATGGCTTCCCCCCAATACCGTCTCTCCCACCCACAACCCTCCCCTTTCCCACTCCCTCTCCCCTTCCATTCACATCAAGATTCATTTTCGATTATCTTAATATACAGAAGATCAGCTTAGTATATATACATTAAGTAAGGATTTCAACAGTTTGCTCCCACACAGAAACATAAAGTGGAAAATAATAGATGATTTTTTTAAATGATGATGAAATCAGATCAGACCTATTGTCATGTTTAATCCCAGTGAGAGTCAAGTTGGGAATTGATAATTTCTTTTTTTTTTTTTTTTTACATAAGATCAGTTTAGTATGCATTAAGTAAAGATTTCAACAGTTTGCACCCCCATAGAAACACAAAGTGAAATATACTGTTTGAGTACTCGTTATAGCATTAAGTCTCAATGTACAGCACATTAAGGACAGAGATCCTACATGAGGAGTAAGTGCACAGTGACTCCTGTTGTTGACTTAACAAATTGACACTCTTGTTTATGGCATCAGTAATCACCCTAGGCTCTTGTCATGAGTTGCCAAGGCTATGGAAGCCTTTTGAGTTCACCAACTCTGATCATATTTAGACAAAGTCATAGTCAAAGTGGAAGTTCTCTCCTCCCTTCAGAGAAAGGTACCTCCTTCTTTGATGACCCGTTCTTTCCATTGGGATCTCACTCACAGAGATCTTTTGCCAGAGTGTCTTGGCTTTCCATGCCTGAAATACTCTCATGGGCTTTTCAGCCAGATCCGAATGCCTTTAGGGCTGATTCTGAGGCCAGAGTGCTATTTAGGACATCTGCCATTCTATGAGTCTGCTGAGTATCTCACTTCCCATGTTGGATCACTCTCCCCTTTATTTATTCTATCGGTTAGTGTTAGCAGGTACTAGACTTGTTTATGTGCTCCCTTTGACTCTTAGTCCTTTCATTATGATCAATTGTGAACTGAAATTGATCACTTGGAATAGTGAGATGGCATTGGTACATGCCACCTTGATGGGATTGAATTGGAATCCCTTGGTATGTTTCTAACTCTACCATTTGGGGCAAGTCAGCTTGAGCATGTCCTGAATTGCACATCTCTTCCCTCTCTTATTCCCACTCTTATGTTTAACAGGGATCACATTTCAGTTAATTTTCAACACTTAAGAATAACTGTGTATTAATTACAGAATTAAACCAGTCATATTAAGTAGAACAGACAAAAAACTACTAAGAGGGATAATGTATTAAGTTGTTCATTAACAGTCAGGGCTATGCTGATCAAGTCACCGTTTCCCATAGTGTCCATTTCACTTCAACAGGTTTCCTTTTTGGTGTTCAGTCAGTTGTCACCAATCAGGGAGAACATATGGTATTTGTCCCTTTGGGACTGGCTTATTTCACTCAGCATGATGTGTTCCAGATTCCTCCATTTTGTTGCAAATGACTGGATTTCGTTGTTTCTTACTGCGGTATAGTATTCTAAAGAGTACATATCCCATAATTTCTTTATCCAGTCTACCGTTGATGGGCATTTAGGTTGGTTCCAGGTCTTAGCTATTATGAATTGAGCTGCAATAAACATTAGGGTGCAGACCTCTTTTTTGTTTGCCAATTTAAATTCCTTTGGGTAAATTCCAAGGAGTGGGATGGCTGGGTCGAACAGTAGGGTTATCTTCAGGTTTCTGAGGAATCTCCAGACTGACTTCCATAGTGGTTTGACCAGTTTGCATTCCCACCAACAGTGGGTTAGTGTCTGCAAAGAGTTTCTTTTAATAACTGTGGAAGTGCTCTGATTCCTTAATCAGCATAGAACAATGTTCTGCAATCACGGATTATAGGTTCACTCAAAATGCTAGAAATACAAATGGATTTCTGTGCAAATAAAATGAAAACTTCAATGGACTCTTCCTCTCCAGGTCCTATTTAGAAGTGAACAAAGCAGACATTCTTGTCATTGAGGCATGTGAGCGCATGGTGTAGATTTCATCAGTAGAGCTCAGTGGCGTTTTGTTATTCTGGAGTCTTCTATCCTGGATAACTCAGAGTGTATGCTCTGATGACAAATTTTTCACAGAGGAAAATCCACTCTGTTTCCCTAGTTTGGTAATCATGTGAGCTCAGGTAGGATGAATCCTATATAATCATCAGTTTATTCATGTGAGGAGTGGGGATGAACTGTAAATTAAATAATACATGTAATAGCCTCAATAGGGCATCTGCTATTCAATGACATTAAAGATTTTAATTCTTGTTTTTAATGGATTCCAGGAATTAAAAATCTGCATACATACATACACACACACACACACACACACATCTCACAATTCTTTCCCTTTTCCTGGAAATGTGATCTACAATTGATTGAAACACTGAATCAGCATCTACAATTAACTGAAACACTCACCAGCATGCATTTTTCACACCCTCTTTTATCACAGTAATTTATAGGTAATGTATCTGCACTGTGCCAGGGCATTTGTTGTGACAATACATTTGGGTTCTGACAATTTTATTAGTTGCTCCAGTGGTTCCAGAGTAGAGCTTTCTTTCCTGCACAATAATTTCTGGGATGAAAAAGGTATGAAAACCGAGTTAAATGACAACGCAGAAATGTCTAATTTTAGCAGAGATAAAAGTGCTCCAACATCAAGCAGAAAGCACAAAGCAGTGCAAATGCTATGCAGAAGCCACGTGCCTCCCTGGGAGATGGGCGGGGTTACAGCTGCAGGCCCAGCTGCAGTTTGGGTCCAGGCAGCAGACGCCCTGGGAGCACTGTGTGTCTGCTGCACAGAGGTAGGTGCCTGAGTCTTCCAGTTGGGAGCTCGTGATGTGGAGGGTGCTGTAGCGCTCCTGAGAGTTAACTGTTGCCTTCAACCTTCCGTTCTGCTTTGTCCCTGTAGCTATGAAGAACAGATTGACGAGGCTGCTCCCAGGATTCTGTCGGAACCACTGCACACTGTTCGCTGTGTTGGAGAAATTGCAGGTCAAGGAAGAGCTGACTCCCTCCTGGGCTGTCAAGGTTGAAGGACTCTGTTGAACCTGCATCCCCCTCACTCCTGCTTGGAAATGAAAAGAAAACACGTAAGATGTCACTGGGGGGATCACGAATGCAGTTTCCAAACCTGTAAAATACCCCCCCCCAAAAAAAAACAAGAGATGGGTAGTACAGCGTAGGAGCTATATGTCAGCTCTCCCCACCCCCCAACTCCCTCCCAATGTCAGCAATGGAACATCCCCCACTCCCATCTGAGACAGGCCCAACTCACTGAAAATCTGGACCCACAGAAGACCCAGCAGAGCCCCCAGTCTTCTCCTCATGGCTCTCTGCCTGATTGTTAGGGCAGGTGGTAAGTGTTGGGTGCAGACAGACTTTGTTCTTTCAGTTAAATGTTCCATAAGACGAATAGAACACCAGTCACATCTGAGCTCTGTCATGCATCTTAACAGGAAACCCCACCCACTGTGGCCCAGTGAGACTACACAGTACCAGCCCCAACATGGTGGGTGGGAACAGTGCAGTGGGGTAGGAGGCAATGTTTCCAAGATGTGAATACCGCTTTCTTTGCTTAAACAATCTGTGGAAGAGATATTTGAAGAAAAGTTTGTGAAGAAGATGGATGATACTTTAGGGAGGAATCAGTGTCACCAATGGACTAAGCAGAGTTTCAAACAATCATAGAAAAAGCAACCCCATGTAACAAATTACAAAAGTTGATAGACCGAGAATTTAGTAATTGGAAAATACCAATAATTAGATAATATTTAATAGTTTGTAATTCTATACAGAAGAATTAAATTCAAACTCTTTGTTTAAACTTTTATTTATTTATTTGAGTTGCAGACAGACAGACACACACATAGATAGAGGGAATGTCCATCCAATGGTTCACTCCCAAAATGCCTGCAATGTCCATGGACAGTCCAAAGCAGCCCAAAGCGTGGAGCTAGGAACACAATCAAGATCTCTTTCATGCTTAGCTGGAGTCAATCACTTGAGCCCTCACTGCTTTTTCTCATGTTGTGCTTTGACAGAAAGATGGAATCAACAGCCAGAGCCAGGTATTTATCCCATGCATTCCAATACAGGAGAAGATACCTTAACTACTGTCTTACCCGCCAGGCCAAATTCCCATTCCAAATGCAATTTCTTTAAATAAAGAGAGATTCAGAAACCCATGATATATGATGATCATCTTCACATAAAATAGTTCCAACAAGAGTTTGCCTGGTTACAAAAATGAGATATTTAATTTCTACTTCTCTTCTGTCCAACCCTTTCCTGGTACACCCTACAGTATTCACAACTGATTCTCATGGGCACACACATGGCAGCTCAAGTTCAATGTGTTGTCTTATGTTTTTCTAATTTTTCCTTCTTTGCTTCTATTCAGTCTTTTTAAAAAATTATCCATAGAAATAGAATAGATTTCATATATTTCATATATATAATTTTAAGCATATTATGATATTTCCTTTTCTCTACTTCCCTCCTTTTTTTTTCTTTTAATTTTTGTGATAACATACTTTCAAATCATTTTATAGTCACAGGCTCAATCCTCCACTAAATAAAGAATTCAACATGTAGAAAGTAGAAATACCACTGTTCCACAGGAGTGTAGACAAGAGTTATAAGCAGTAATCAAATTTCAAGATTTCAATTTCTCTCATGTACATTATATTTTTTACTCTATATATTAGTACCACAAATTAGGGAAAACACATAATTTTTTTCTTTTGGGATCAAGTTTACTTAACTAAGCATAATTGTCTCCAGTTGCATCCATTGTGTGGCAAAAGATGGGATTTCATTCTTTTTATGGCTGACTAGTTGTTCATCATATATATATATGTATATATAATTTTCTTTATCCAGTCATCAGTTGATGGGCATCTGGGTAGATTCCATATCTTAGCTATTGTGAACTGAGCTGCTCTAAAAGTGGGGGTACAGATAACTTTCATATGCTGCTGTTTTCCTTTCCTTTGGGAAAATACCCAAGAGTGGGGTGACTGGGTCATGTGGTAGATCAATTTTCAGATTTTTTAGGAGTCTGCATAGTGTCTCCTGTAATGGCTGTACTAGTTTACATTCCCAACAGTGTATTAGGGTATCTTTTTCTCACATCCTCACCTGCATGTAGTATTTTTTGATTTGGGAGATGATAGCCATTCTAACTGGGATGAGGTAAAACCTCATTTATTTGCACTTCCCTGGTGGCTACTGATCCTGAGCATTTTTTCCCCATGCCTATTAGCCACTTGTATTTCATCCTTTGCCAATTTCTTGTTCTTTCTAGTTGCAGTAAGGATACACAAAAAGACCAGATGTTAGAGGCATGGAAATAATTTCTAGGACTGTGAGTTTGGGGAATACAGGTAGTGGAGCTGTTTTCTATTAAGCGTCCATGCTCACAATGTCCAATAAAATTCCAATGTTCTTACACGTACTCAGAGAACACTCCTTCCAACAGATTTGAAGACACTTGGGCTCCAGCTGTCTGAGTTTCAGTATAGAAGTACAGAGCTGAAAACTGGAGCTGAACTTCACACAGACATCCTCCCCTGTCCCACTCTCCTTGCTATGTGTGACTTGACTGCTCACATATTCTCTGGTCCTCTAGAGCCACGGGAAGTTAGTTTTAGTGAAGCCTAAAGTGCCCCCTAGTGGACTGAAACCATCAACAAAGTCTAGGCGAACTAACTCCTTAGCAGTCACACAAACCTAGCTCCACTCTTGTTTCCTGGTGGAGGAACTGCAGCTGGTGAGAAAACAAAATAACTGCTTAGAGTGAGTGGAGGTTAAAAATAGACCAATTACTGGGGACAGCGCTGTGGTGCAGCAGCTTAAGCCGCCATCTGCAGTGCCTACATCACATATGGGTGTGGGTTTGAGTCTCAGATGCTCCAATTCCTGTCCAGCTCCCTGCTAATGTGCCTGGGAAAGCAGTGAAGGATGGCTGAAGTCCTTGGACCCCTGCACCCACATGGGAGACCAGGAGGAAGCTCCTGGAGGTTTCTACCTGAGCCAGTCATGGCTGTTGCAGCCATTTGGGTTGTGGATCAGTGGATGGAAAATTGATCTCTTTCTTTCTGTGTGACTCTGCCTTTCAAATAAATAAATAAAATATTTTAAAGCAAAATCAAAAACAAGGGGCTGGCTCTGTGGCACAGTGGGTTAACACCCTGATCATATGGGCACCAGTTCGAGACCTGGCTGCTCCACTTCTGATCCAGCTCTCTGCTATGGCCTGGGATAGCAGTGGAAGATGGCCCAAGTCCTTGGGCCCCTACACCCGCGTGGGAGACCTGGAAGAAGCTCCTGGCTCCTGGCTTCGGATTGGCTCAGCTCCAGCTGTTGAGGCCATTTTGGGAGTGAACCGGCAGATGGAAGACCTCTCTGTCTCTGCTTCTCCTCTCCCTGTGTAACTCTGAATTTCAGATAAATAAATAAATCTTTACAAAACAAAAACAAACAAAGTCTTTAAAACTAAATAAAATAAACCAATTACTACCTTTAAATGCTGTTTTATGGAAGCTGGTTTAGTGCTACTCATTTGATTTCTCTATTTTAGTTCAAAATGAATCCTTAAACATGTTGATTTTTAGTGTAAATGGGTAATTTGCTAGATCTTAACAATACACTATTCTTTAAAATAAAAAAATACAAAAAATTCAAGGAAAATGCAATTAAAATAAATTTTTGGTGCATAATTGTGAAATCCATAAATACAAATAGATTAAAGGTGATGAGATAAGATTATAATTTACTGTCTACTGGAGAAGATAAAAATCTGCATAACTATAATAAAATGAAAGAGAATCCTCAGAATATTGTAGAATAAAAGCTGTTTATGAAGGTGAGAGTATACAGAACAAAGTCAACATGTACTTGGTCCAGTGACACCATAGTGTCAACTACAGTCCCTACCAATATTTCCAGCAGACATTGTCACTGTTAAACTTACTACATGATTTATTGTGCAATGTCAACATAGAAGGATCAGTGTTCAATATTTCAATAGTGACATAGTATAAGAACTGTGTGAAAGTAATGAGAAAATTGTCAGCAGCTACAAGAAAGACAAAAAAGGTATAACATCACCAAGTTTCTCATTGAGTTAGCAGAACTGACAATACCAAAAGAATAGGAAACTACTTTCATAGCTGTGAAAACGTCTTGGAGAAGCTCTTCATAATGAATTCTAAATCTTCACTCTCCTACACTTTTTTAAAGTAACTGCCAGCACTAAGAGGACCATAATAGTTTTTCTGTGTCCTTCATGGTTCCAATCGATCTCCTAAATGTCACAATCCCTCCCAAATAGAAGTACTTAAAGTCTGACTAAATAGTCTGACACATATTAACTCTAACAGAGCCACGAAAAGAAATTCCAAGAAAATCTGCTGTGAATAACCAAGGAGACAAGGAGGCAACACTTGCAGAGAAACAGTATGGTGAGCTCATCTTTGTTTTTCTCCATTAGTTGAGATTCATAAGATGATGCATAAAAACTCAGCTTCTATTGGCTGTGTCCCAACTTAACAGCCAAGCCCTTCAGGCAGCCCAGCCTACGCCGAATCCTTGATGCCTTGATTATTACATAATAAGAACACTGTCTCCTCCAATATTCTAGAATACTGACGCTGGTATTATGTAGTTTTCACAATGAGCATAGGCTGCTGAAACAAAGTTTATGAGACCTAGAGCACAGCAGGAATTGAAGAATAACAAAGAAGTACCAGCCCAGCCCTCCTTTATCTCTTGCCAACTTTTAATGTGAAAACCACAGGAAGAGCTCTCAGATCTCCCCTCCCGGGAGGTTTGTGTCCGGCTCCCCCTGCAGGCCCAGGCGCTGTGGCACTCGCAGCAGCGCAGAAGTACCGGGCCGCGTCGCTCCCCTGCACTGAGGCTTTCCTCAGGTGGAAGGAAGACTCGCTCTTCTTAAACTCAGCCTCAAAGCCTCTGATGCCGGGAACCCGGGAGTCCCCTGAAACGTACTTGAGGAGAAGCTGGGGGCCTTGGCCGGGGTGCTGGACGTACCAGAAGAGATAAACAGGTGCCCCATAGGAGTAGTTGCACCTCAGCTCCGCAGCGGCTCCTTCAGACACAGAGACCTGGGCGTCGGGCTGGGTCACGGTCTGGGCGCTGGTGTCTCCTGGAAAAGCAATGCGGGCCGTGAGCGCAGTGCCGTGTTCCCCGTGAAAAGTAAGCGTTTCCGGCCAGAACCTGTGGAAGCCGAGACCACAGAGAAACTTTACTCACTCAGGGCCCACTGGAGCCCCAGCACCGGGATGAGCAGCAGGAGCATGGCTGAGGCGTGGAAACACTGCAGGCTCTTTCTGGAAGATCTCCCGAGGGCAGGCAGGAGAGTGGCCCTGGAAACCAAGACCCTGGAAGCAGGAGGGGTGGAGAAAGTTGGGATGCCCACACTCCTTGCTTAGGTAAATGTACAAGAGCTACTAAATTGCGGCGGGATGCTTTTTGACTTCTGATTTTTGCCATTTGTCTGCAATCTGCAAAGATCTCAGCGGGCTGCAGGGAGGCGGAGCTGAGGAAGGATGCTGGTCTGCTCCAAACACGGAGACCTCTCATCTAGGCAGCATCGCCCTCTGGAGGTCATGTGCGGAGCCATAAATCCTGTGGCCCTACAGCTGCTTGGCCTGTTCCTTCTACCACACAGGATATATCAAAAGTGCCACCAAGCAGCTTCTTGCTCCCCAGATGTGTGCTAGTATATTAGTCCTAAAGTCCACTAGAAATGAAATGTCCTGTAAACATGGAATAATAACTCACTTCACTGAGAGGAAGTTGTAAAGACTATATGCGATTACAGATCCAAGTCCTTGATAGTCTTTGAGGTTAGAACAGTTGCCTCAGGCTGAGCTATGGATGTCCCAGGACCACCATATTGGTATGGGATAAGATACCTATGTCCCCTGGCTGACACTGCGCCCACAAAGGTAAAAGTCAGAGCCCGTAAAATGATTATAATTCATCTAAAAGACTTGATGTAGCACTGTACCACTCTAGAAACCTCTGTGGCAGGAATACAATCAGATCTAGAGAATTATCCCAGCAAACATGAGAGTGAAGATATTCAACACTTTCTCTGTTGGCAGTGTAACCCTCTGACAAAGTCAGTACATCCCTTCTTTGACTTCAGGACCATGAGCCAAGTCCTCTCATTGAGATCTTAATTTGTTCCTGCTTGTAGAAATTGCCTTCATTTGGAAGGCTTGATAGCACTGTCAGTTTCAGTGTGTAGTCCGTGAATGTAACTCTTTCTATAGCTATATCTATTCTATATCTATATATCCAAATTCCTTCCTAACTGAAAGAACAGACTTGGGGCCGGTGCTGTGGCGCAGTAGGTTAATCCTCTGCCTGCAGCGCCTGTATTCCATATGGGCACCAGTTCTAGTCCCAGCTGCTCCTCTTCCAATCCAGCTCTCTGCTGTGGCCTGGGAAAGCAGTAGAAGGTGGTCCAAGTGCTTGGGTCCCTGCACCCGCATGGGAGACTAGAAGAAGCTCCTGGCTCCTGGCTTCAGATCAGTGCAGCCCTGGCCTTTGCAGCCATTTGGGGAGTGAACCAACAGAAGGAAGACCTTTCTCTCTGTCTCTTCCTCTCACTGTCTGTAACTCTAACTCTCAAATAAAAAAAATCTTAAAAAACAGAAAGAACAAATGTAAAAGGGAATAAATCACAATACATAGAGTAAAAATATTAAAGATCATCTGGAGATGAGAGATTTACATGTAATTCCAGGAAACAGAAGTGTATGAGATCATACTTAAGATTAAAATGTGGACAGAAAAGAGCACAGTCAAAATAAGCTAATAGGAGCAACGTCTATAGACTACCTTCTTGGTGGCAATTTTAACTCAGCTCAGAATTGCTAGGCACTGGCCAACCTGTTGTGTACAAGGTCAAGGTCAGAGGGTTATTTCATGCCTTGGGTCAGGGCTGCTTCCTCTGCACTGGAAGAATGAAAGGGAATTATCCAGTCCTCCATGGTGGTAGACAAAGCAGCTCATCATTCAAAAATAAAACCAGAAACACATCCAGTGGGTGGGCTTTTGGTTCAGGCAGAGATGAAAGAAGGCCAACTTGTAGACTCTTAAATGCTCAGGCAAGGGTAATAGGCTCTTCAACTGAAATGGCAGCAGCACAGGGAATGAGAAGTGGGCAGAGGGGACTGGCGCTAAGGCATAGTAGGTTAAGCCTCTGCCTGCAGCGTCAACATCTCATATTGGCTCCAGTTCATGTCCCAGCTGCTCCACTTCCAACCCAGCTCCCTGCTGATGGCCTGGGAAAGCGCTGGAGGATGGCCCAAGTCCTGGGGCCCCTGCACCCACATGGGAGACCCGGTAGAAGCTCCTGGCTCCTGGCTTCAGATCGTCCCAACTCCAGCCATTGCAGCCATTTGGGGAGTGAACCAGCAGATGGAATCTTTCTCCCCCTCTCTCTCTTTTACTCTGCCTCTCAAATAAATAAATCTTTAAAAAGAAGAGGAAGTAGTAGTCAGAGTTCGTATATAGTTGGAAGGTTGAGCTACCGAAAGTTTTATCTTACATACTTTGAGAAAAAGATTAACAATATTTTTATTTTATTAGAGCCTTACTTCTCCCCTTGTTGCACTCCTTGTTGCCTGGGGCCCACAGGTGCAAGGCCTGATGGCCTCCACCCTGCCTCTGCTTTCCTGTCTGCATGCTTACTCCATGTGGCTCCTGGCCTGCTCTCTGCCTGGTATGGACCCAACTTAGCTTCTAGACTTCCTTGTTTCCCAATTAAAGCCCTCACTTTCCTATGCATTTCTTTCACTGAATAAAAACACTTAAAAACTTTTTTTTTTAAAAAAGAACCTGACTTCTTAAACAGATCTATTGAAATACAGCTGACTTACACAATTCAGTCCCTTGAAACATACAGTTCAATGCATGTTGGTTTGTTCACAAATCAATTAGAATACATTTTCATCACCACAAACAGAAACCTAGTACCCATTAACAATCACCCTCCATCCCTCTCATCCATCTCCTGCCACCTAGCCAACTGGAAGTCTAGGTAGGCTGAAAATTGATGCCTCAATAGATCTTTGTATTCTGAACTTTGCATATAAAGGGAGCCATACAACAGGTAGTATTTTCTGGTTGGCTTCCTTCACTTATCTTCTCATATTTTCAAAGTCGGTGTTGTAGTCTGTATCAGTTCATCATTCCTTAAAAATGTTCTGTGAATATAATGCATTCGTTGTCCCATCTATCAATCGAAAGGCACTGGGTTCTTTCTGATACGAGCTGTGATGAATAGTGCAGGTGTGAGCATTTGTCTACAACATTTTGTGAGGACCTACATTTTAATTTCTCTGTGGGGCTTATCTCCAATAGAACTGCTATTTTCCAGAGCAGCTGCACCATTTTGCATCCACATCAGCAACACATAAGTATTCCAATTTCTCCCCATTTTTACCAACACTTCACATACTCATATTATCATTTAAATGATGTAGATTCTCATTTTATTGGCTTGCATTTCCTTAAAGAATAATGATATTGGGTACATTTTCATGTGATTGCTTGCTATTTCTGTATCATTTTTGGATAAATGTCTATTTATATCCTTTACTCATTTTAAAAATTGATGATGATTTTATTTTATTATTAAGTTGTAAGTGCTGCTTATATATCCTGGCTAGAACACTTTATCACACATATGAGCTGCAAATATTTTTTTCCCATTTTGGAGCTGTCTTTTCACTTCATTAAAACTTTATTTTGTAGCACACATACTTTAATTGTAATAGAGCCCAGGTTATACATTTTTACTTTTTGTTTGCCCTTTTGATATCATATGTAAGAAAAATTTGCCTAATCGAATGTCATGAAGACTTGCTATGTTGATTTGTAAGTGTCTTGTAACTAATAATATTCCTTTGTGTATACATACCACATTTTCTTGATCCATTCATCTGATGATGGACACCATGGTTGATTCTAATTTAGGCTAGTGTGAACAGTGCTTCTATGAACATGGTGGTGCAGGTATCTCTTTGATACATGGTGTTCAAGACTTTTGGGTATGTAACCAGTAGTGGGATTGATGGAGTATATGGCAAATCTATTTCTAGTTTTTGAAGAAATGACCACACGGTTTTCCACAGTGGCTGCACTAATTTACATTCCCATCAACAATATCATTATTTTTTTATAATAGCATCTATAAATCACATTGCATCTATTAAAAACTAATTAAAAATCAAAATGTTTAAATTTTAAAAAAATCAGTAGCTGGGCTGAAACTCCCTAGGAAATCACCCCTTCCTTTTCTTTTCTTTTCTTTTTTTTTTTTTTTTTTGACAGGCAGAGTGGACAGTGAGAGAGAGAGACAGAGAGAAAGGTCTTCCTTTGCCGTTGGTTCACCCTCCAATGGCCGCCGCGGCCAGCGTGCTGCGGCCGGCGCACCATGCTGATCCGATGGCAGGAGCCAGGAGCCAGGTGCTTTTCCTGGTCTCCCATGGGGTGCAGGGCCCAAGCACCTGGGCCATCCCCCACTGCACTCGCGGGACACAGCAGAGAGCTGGCCTGGAAGAGGGGCAACCGGGACAGAATCCGGCGCCCCAACCGGGACTAGAACCCGGTGTGCTGGCGCCGCAAGGCAGAGGATTAGCCTAGTGAGCTGCGGCGCCGGCCTCCCCTTCCTTTTCTAGCTTGTCAGGGAGCCTTTAAGAATTTGCAGTCCCATTCTCACAGCTGTGTCTCTCAACACAGGTCCTCCTTGGATGGACTGGGACAAAGTTGCAGGTTTAAATTTTATACAAGTATAAATGCATAGATTTCATTCATTTTGAGGTTTTATACACTTAAAACTACTATTCTCAAGAGATTTTTGAGGAAGTATGGTAGCAGGCTCTGGGTACACTCCTATTGTGACAACACAATCTATGGGGTATGTCTATTTCTTGATCTGATCGTTCAGAGCCTACCTGGATGGCTGTCACTCTGAGAGTCCTGGACTTAGTGGTGAGTGGCAACAGTGTCCCCAATAGACACTCAGCACCAGGCCCTTCCCTGCTGCTCAGAGTTTGTGCTCAGCTCCCCCTGCAGTCCCTGTCACTGTGTCTGAGCACAGTAGTACACGGCCGAGTCGGACTCTTGCACTGAGGATTTCTCCAAGTGGAAGGAGCTGGTGTCTTTATTGTACAAGGCTTCAAAACCTCTGTTGCTTCCCTTCTCATTGGCTTTCGTGGCTTTCAGGAGGAGCTGTAGACCTTCCCCAGGATACTTGACATACCAGAAAAGGGCAGGGAACCATGTGATTTTGTAGGAACACTTCACAGTCAGGGAAGCTCCTTCAGCCAGTGTCACTTGGCCTTCGGTCTGGGTCACCAACTGTCCATTGCTTCCTCCTGGAAAAAAAATGACTATGGTGCATTTTAACCTGACCATCATCTAAGCTCTCCACTTACAGAAAATTATTATGAAAGGGCGCATCAACAGATGTAAGAAATCACACTGAGTCCTAAGAGTCATCTTACCAAGTGTGAAGACTAGTGCAATCACCAGAGCTGGAGAAGCTTCCATTTTTAGATGCAGTAATGTCTTCGGGTCTTGACATGTAAGTAGGAAGAAAGATTAAGGTCACAGTGAAAAGATGAGTGTGAGCTCAGAATTAACACAGGAAATGTGCACATATTGCCAAGATGCACCCCCTTGTGGGTCAAATACTAAACTCAAGATCGTTGACCTCTTTGCTTCCCCAAAGTTTGTCTTACTCCTTTATCATCACCTCTGGCTTTTCTTCTGAGACACCTGCTAGCTGCCAGTTAGTGTTTTTCATAACCCTATCTTTTTCCCAGAACACTCTCTGACATAGAAGTTCTTTCCCATTACATTTCTGTAAATAGTATTATAGATGTTTTATGTCACCATGCTATCCAGTGAAATGCCAAACAAATAATTTGTAGGATAAAATCAAATGACTATTGGCCGGCGCCATGGCTCAATAGGCTAATCCTCCACCTAGCAGCGCCGGCACACCGGGTTCTAGTCCCGGTCGGGTCGCTGGAGTCTTTCCTGGTTGCCCCACTTCCAGGCCAGCTCTCTGCTGTGGCCCAGGAGTGCAGTGGAGGATGGCCCAGGTGCTTGGGCCCTGCACCCCATGGGAGACCAGGAGAAGCACCTGGCTCCTGCCATCGGATCAGCGTGGTGCGCCGGCCACAGCGCACCAGCTGTGGCGGCCATTGGAGGGTGAACCAACGGCAAAAGGAAGACCTTTCTCTCTGTCTCTCTCCCTCACTATCCACTCTGCCTGTCAAAAAAAAAAAATCAATGACTATTAATAACAATCTTTAATCAGTAGCAGATAATCATGGTACAGATTTATTCCCAAACTGAAGACAATGTCAGACACCTAGCAATTCTCAACACTTACTTCTTCAAAGCATAAATGAATGGCATTTGGTTGAACAATTGCTACTACTTGAAATATAAATTGCATCAAATATAAGAAATAAAATTTTATAAATGCTTTTCAGTGGAAAAAAGGAAATTATCTATTATTTATATTCAAATATTGATTCAGAAATTAAAATATTCAACTATTTATATTGAAGAAATATAGCAGTTAAAGTTATTGACCCTATATGAAATGATCTGCCATGACATTTTTCTCCCTTAAGATTTCAATGACTCTCAGATAATGTGATTGGACTATGTGCATCAGGAAAAGTCTTATAAAACTAAACTTGTAATGGAAATTTTGTCTCAAGTACACTGTCTACATATGTGCCTCTGCCAACACTATTGGCCAATAATTGTTTGCATCACAGATAGGATATTCAGGTAAAGTTCTCTAGGAATGCTATCCAGGGTGCCACATGTGCTACCGGAATTTGGGGTGCCATACGATTTCACTACGGGCTTATTACTAAATCCCCAATACTAATAAGCCCAAGAGGGTTCTTGCCTAATATATAGAGAAGAATTCTAAATACCGGCACAGATAACCAAGGCAGCATGGTACATTTTAGGCTTTTATTTAGTGAGAAAGATGCATAGGAGAGTGAGAGCCTTATTTAGGAGAGAGAGGTGAATAGGGGTTCATACCGAGCACCAGGAACCAGCCACGTGGAAGAGCATCTAGGCCTGTATCTGGGCCAGGAAGCCTAGAGCACTTGGCCCGAAGGCCATGCGCCCTGGAGGCGTGGGGCTACAGCAAGCCCCCTCCTGACAAGAGGCCAGGGAAGAAGAGCCATCAGGGCCATATACGGTGTCCAGCTTTTAACCCACTTCCAAAGGGGAGTGGTTAATTAACCTGATTGGCTGGTGGGCACCCAGGTGTGGCCAGGTAGGGGAATGAGGCCAATGAGGCCACACAGGGCATGGCAAAGGCGTGGTCTTCCAGTTCACAAATCCAATCAATTTTAACCTGTATGCCTGCCTACTTCATTAACAGACACAGTTTATGCTTTTCATAGAGAAAAAAAATTCCACAAATTTGTAAATATAAGATATGAACAGGAATACTGGCCTAAGAAACCACTTAAGGATTTCCAAAAGGATTTTATACAACTGGATTTCCTGGATAAATTATGAATGTGTTACTACTAGTCAGAGAATTTTTGTTTCCTATATATCAGTAGTAAAATAGTCACCACAGTAAGCAAATTAACAAATCGAACATCTTGCACATTTGTTTTTATGTGTAGCAATTCAATGAAAAATAAATTTTAAAAATTAATCTTTGGTCATTTCCAAGAGCAGGTGCAGAGCTATGAAACTAAGAGCTCTGAATCCTACAATTAAAGATGGATGTTCTCCTTAGAACATTGTAGTCACCTGCCTCTCAATGGGAAAACTTGCTCATGGGTTGGACAGCACTTTTCTTAGGTCCTCTAATATTGACTCTGTCCTTTGTTTTAGACTCTGCATTTAAACTGCTTGTTAGACTGGTTTTCTCCAGACTTGAAACAGTGAAATTCTAGAGCCTCCAATGGAAGCAGTTTCTGCAAGCTGGCACTGCCATCCCCCTCAAGAAGCCACCTCCTACTGGAACCCTATCTTGACTGCTGTTCCCAACACCATCCCTTTTCAGCATGAAGGAACTAGAATGATCATCGCCCAGTTCTCCTAACAGAAGTTAGGGCCTATTATGCTGGGCGGGGGAGGGTGGAATTTGAGGAGTCAGATAGGTTAATAGGTAATCAGTGGAAATTGGGGTGCAGAGTGCTTGCTTTCCCCCAAGGGTCGTTTTTAGCAAGGTCAAAAAGTGCCTGCCTTCCCACTCCCTGAAAGTTCCAATTTTACCATCAGAATAGCAAGGGAATGGTGATTCTATCCTCCTGAGCTCAGTTTACTGTAAACAAGTTACCTGTCCCACCCCCCCCCCTTTTTTTTTGACAGGCAGAGTGGACAGTGAGAGAGAGACAGAGAGAAAGGTCTTCCTTTGCCGTTGGTTCACCCTCCAATGGCTGCTGCAGCCGGCACACCGTGCTGATCCGAAGGCAGGAGCCAGGTGCTTCTCCTGGTCTTCTATGGGGTGCAGGGCCATCCTCCACTGCACTCCCGGGACACAGCAGAGAGCTGACCTGGAAGAGGGGCAACCGGGACAGAATCCAGCGCCCCGACTGGGACTAGAACCCGGTGTGCCGGCGCCGCAGGCAGAGGATTAGCCTTTTGAGCCATGGCGCCGGCCCTGTTCCACCCTTCTAATGGCTCTTTTTGTTTTATCCTGAGCAAGCCAGACAGATTAAAAGATTGTAAATCAGGTCTTTTGATGGGTTTTGTCCCTGCCTTGTAACCGAATGTCAAACTGTTATATTTTTTCTTCCCCAAAATTGTGCTTAAAAACCCCAGTACCACTGACCCCTTTGGGTTTTTGTTTTCCCCTTTGGAAGCCTCCCTCCATGCCAGTCTGGATGGAGGTCTTTGATTCTTTTTTTTTTTTTCAAGATGTACTTATTTATTTGAAAGTCAGAGGTACACAGAGAGAGGAGAGGCAGAGAGAGAAAGAGGTCTTCCATCTGATGGCTCACTCCCCAGATGGCCACAACGGCCAGAGCTGCGCTGATCCAAAGCCAGGAGCCAAGAGCTTCTTCCGGGTCTCCCACACGGGTGCAGGGGCCCAAGGACAGGCCATAGCAGAGAGCTGGATTGGAAGAGGAGCAGCTGGGGCTAGAACTAGTGCCCATATGGGATGTCAGCGCTTCAGGGCAGGGTGTTAACCCACTGCGCCACAGCTCCGGCCCAGGAGGTCTTTGATTGTAATAAATTTTGCTTTGAAAAAGAAAAGAAGTCATAGTCATCTAATAATGCCATATTTTCCTGAGGAGATATAATATTTAGCCACTCATAATCATGATATAAACCATAATTCTGATGTGGAAAAATAAATAAATGTCACATCACTTCACTTCAGTTAGACTGACTATAATTAAAAAGACAAAAGGTGACAAACATTGGCAAGGAGATGAGGAAAAGGGAACACTTGCACATGTTGGTGAGAATGTAAATTAATATAGTCATTGTGGAAACAGTATGGAGTTTCCTCAAAAGCTAAAAATAGAACTGCCCTATGACACAACAATCCCACTACCGGGTATATATTCAAAGGAAATAAAATTGTTCTAAGAGGTATCTGTATTCCTATGTTTATCGCAGCACTATTCACAAGAGCCAAGAAATGGAATCAAGCAGTGTCCATCAACTAATGAACAGATATAGCACATACAGACCAAAGACTACTTCAGCCATAAAAAGTGACACAATCTCGTCATTGCAACAACATGTATGGAACTGGAGGTTATTACATGAAGTGAAATAAGTAAGGCACAGGATGATACATACTTTGTGATCTCACTCAGATGAGGAATCTGGAAAAGTGGATATTCTACGAGTTGAGAGTAGGAGAGTAGTTTTCAAAGAGTAGGGGTCAGGGACTGGGAAAGTTTTATTAACAGGTACTAAGCTAGAGCTGGATAAGAGAAAGAAATTTTGATGTTCTATTTTACAGTGAAATAACCAGATAACAATAATGTATTGTATGTAATCCTGGAAAAAAGTTAGAAGAAAATATTTTTAGTGTTTTACCATGGACATGAAAAGTGATTAAGGACAAAGAAATACATCTGAACATTATGCAATGTGTCCATGTGTTGAATTATCACATAATACTCCATAAATTTATATAGTTTTATATAACAGCTAAAATAAATATTAAAAGTCCCAAAGGAAAAAAAAGAAGTAATCTATTAAGCAACAGTCAGCCAACAAAATGATCTCAACTGTTCTGGTTTATCTTGAACATAAGCTTTTTATTACAAGCTTTTAATGTCTATATGTTAATTTATATTTGCAAACAAACAATATGGCAAATGTTGTAATGGGAAGGCCGTGCCAGAGAAAAAAGAGATAAGGCGAGGCTTCTGCACCACTCACAGGTTTGGGTACTGCCTGCAGGTGCAGGGGAAGCAATGTGTACTCGCTGCACAGAAGTAGATGGCTGAGTCTCCAAGCTGGGTGGCTGCAATGTGCAGGGAGAAGTGTTTGGCCACTTTATTCAGCAAAACAGTGAGTCGTTGGTTTTGCTTTTTCTCCACATTTGAGCGAATGTCTAGAATGAGCTGGGGCCCCTGACCAGGTTCTTGTTTATACCATGCGAAAAAGGCTGATGAGCTGTCGGAATAAGTACAGTTGATAACAGAGCTGTCTCCTTCCTGGACACTCAGAATAGAAGGAAACTGTTCCACATCATCTCCTCGGCTCTCCCCTATGCAGAAAGAAAAAAAATTTCAGTACCATTAGGATTTTCTTTTTCAACAGTAAGGAGAGAAAACCTCCAGCCTTCTCCCTGAACACATAATGAACATATACTAATATACTTTGTTTTCCCAAAACCCTCAACTCACAGTGCAGCTGCAGCCAAAAGAACATGAAAGATGCTCCAATGGATGTCTTCATTGTTCTTCCCAGTTAGGATCAATCAGAGATCTGCAATCTTCAACCAGGAGCTACTCCTATTTTCAGGTTCATGGTGGGTCTCATATTGTCTATCCAGCCAATAAGAAAAAGCCTCTGCCTCTGCTGTAAGCCTCTTCATTTGGAATCTGCTCAAGTGAACTTCCCCATACTCTGCAGCAACAGAGGTACACTACCATCTTGTGGTCACACCCATCCCTCAAGTACTAAATTCTCTGGGTAAATGTAAACCTAGGAGGGACTCAGCTGCATAAATGTAGCAACAGGCAGATAAAACAAAACAAATTAGATCCGAGGTCTAAGATTAAATGCACAGCAAATTGTATATATTTATGATATTTATGCATGGTCCTGAGTAATTAATAAACTGAAAACAAGTATGCTACCAGAGATTGGCTGCTCAGGGGTTCTTGTCTTTGTGTAAGAAGGAATTTAGACGTGAGACAGAGTGTAGTGGTAAACGAGGCAGCGAAGTTGAAAGAAAAGAAGTCATGGAGAGAAGTACCCCTGACAGATCAGGCAGGCGTCTCAGGAAAGGGCTGGGAGCCCAGTCTGCATTCAGACTAGAGGTTTTGACATGAGAATTGGTCCCCTGTCTATCCTCCCTGCTCCCTCTTCTGAGCCCATGGCCTTTGCTATTCCCACAGAAAGGACAGTACCAATAGTCAAAGGGAGAATTTTCTCTCAGCAAAGATGATTGTGATAGAAAGTAAACGATTAAATCTCAGTAACAATAGAGCGTGGGGATAAGTTCCATGAGAGAATAGTACTCCAGCCTTAAGAAACAGTTTGACCCATAGATTGGGATGATTTGCAAAGAGAAATCTGACATCCTTTAAGAAATCATTTCCTATTGCTGTGTGGCTTATGTTCTGCAAAGTGTTAAAAGAAAGAGTAGAAATTCTCAAAAATCATCAGACTGGAGAATCTAAACATCTAAGTTTATTCTGGGGGTGTTTTATTTTCTGGTAACAAAATGGCATGTTGTTAAATGCAGTGACTGACTTAGATCCTAGTGGAATTTCCTCAAAAGCACATGAGTTGGGGGCTGGCGCTGTGGCATAGCAGGTAAAGCCGCCACCTGCAGTGCCGGCATCCCATATGGGCACCAGTTTGAGTTTCAGTTGCTACTCTTCTGATCCAGCTCTCTGCTATGGCCTGGGATAGCAGTAGAACACGGCCTAAGACCTTGGACCCCTGCACCCACGTGGGAGACTCAGAAGAAGCTTCTGGCTCCTGGCTTTGGATTAGCTCAGCTCCAGCCATTGAGGCCATCTAGGGAGTGAACCAGCAGATGGAAGACCTCTCTCTCTCTCTGTCTCTACCTCTCTCTGTAACTCTGTCTTTCAAATAAATTAAAATAAATCTTTTAAATAAAGAATAAATCTATGGAAGCCTAAATGTTGCTTATTTGTGTGATGTGGTTAGTACAAATGACCCAGAAGTGTTAACCATGAGACATGGCACCTGGGAAACCAAGACTATATCATTTCCAGAAATGAGAGCTCCTTTCCTGTGAATTGAAGTCACCAGTTTCCCAGAGTGACAGAGAAAAAAAAATCTATTCTCATTCACATCTCACAATTTAAGGACTCTCAACTCAATTTTAAAATGTATATATGAAAAATATATTTTTACATATGTAAAACTTCTCCCTCCTAAGGACCTCCTTTCTCTAACCAATTATTCATATAATCATATTAAATTCTTCACTGGGAAACTTTTTCTTCTTCTCGGAGATAGGTATTTTAGGTCTTCAAATGTGCATGGAAAATATGTATTATGATCAATTTATATGTGTGCTTCAGATTTTTCTTGCACCAATATAAACAGGTTTCAATTTTATTTTTCTATGAATTTTTGAAATCACATCATATATCCATGTGAGTTATGGCACCCAGATCAAAATGTAATGGCTGCCTTTCATGCCTAGTGGGTCAAACATTACACAATTTGGAACATCCCATTCAAATATGCAAACTCATTGGACCAAGGCTTACCCAGACCCAAACTGCACAGAAAGCTTGGTTTCCACCAGGTGGTTTCTCTTTGCTCAGCAGTATTGCCCTGACTGAATGAGGCAGGGGAAATAATGCTGATGATGAAGTGAAGAAAAACAATTTCTCTCTACTCCCAGCTCCTTTATTAACTATTTGCTTCGTACCGGCATCTTGAATGTATTTCTGCCTTTGTAAAATGAAGTTGGACTAAGGGACTTCATGCATCTCTAAATTTTTATATTTTTATATTATTTAGCAGATTAAGCATTAGTGATGTGCAATATGGAATGATATGATAGTGGAGAGGAATTGTCCTGCGTACAGAGCTCCAAGTACAACCTAGTGTGGCTGAAGTTACCCATAACCATTCCTATGTGTCTGAGGTTACCCCTGCCCAATCCTGGCCTTCATTGGAAACAGAGACAGAGCTCTCAGGATGAATTCTCTTCTGGGTTTTCAATCCTCCAATAGCATCAGTGAGGGAAGATGGATCAAAGGAGGCCAAATCCACAACAAAATGGAATAAAATGATCTTTACTAAGTAAAAATCATCACAGTTAGGGATATGGGGCCATATTCCATGGCTGAGCCTTTCTGAAGATTCATTCCTGTGTTTAAATCTATAATATGTCTTTGTTATCAGGAAGAAAACACCCCAGCATCTTGGAGAACCAGGAAGAGGTAGACAAGCTAACCAATACCATAATACAAAATGCACTTTCTCAAAAAACCTGATTGCTTTCTGGATTCCAGTGCTAATCTTCCAGATTTAGCTTGAAGATTCAAGATTCTCAACTATGGCTGACTGCATAATCTACGTGACTCGGTACAAAATAAAAATTTGGAATCCTTCGTTCAAAATACACAAAAAAAGAGTGCCAGTGAGCACTAAAATGTAAACCTTCTGGGGTCAGCATTGTGCTGCAGCAGGTTAAGCCCCACCTGCAACGCCCACATACCATATCAGAGCACAAGTTCAAGACACAACAGCTTCATTTCCAATCCAGCTTCCTGCTGATGTGCCTGGGAGGGCAGCAGATGATGGCCCACATACTTGGACCCTGCCTCTCATCTGGTAGACCTGGATGGAGTTCCAGCCTCCTGGCTTCAGCCTGGCCCAGAGCTGGCCATTGCAGCTTCTTGGGGAGTGAACTAGTAAGTGGAAGATCTCTTTCTCTTTCTCCCTCCTTCTCTCTGTCATTCTGCCTTTAAAATAAATAAAATAAATCTTTTTAAAAAGTAATGCTTGTTTTAAAAAATATTTTACTACATTTAAAACACAATAGGGTTCACAATGATACATAGAAACAACAAATTTCAAAATTTCAAAATGTATGTTGGAGTCATAACTTGTATGACAGAGTAATAATACTTTATTAATGTGATATCTTTATTAATAGCATGATTTTTTGGCCTTACTTCTCTGGATATTAATGTGTTAGGTTATCAAAATCGATGCTTTTAGCAACTTCATTTTTAGGCACCATAATTGAAAGCATTGTCAGTTGTACTTGACAATCGCAAAATTGCAAACAGAATTTTTCACCATTTCTAATTTTGCATATAATGTGTCTGCTCATACAATTAATACTGGAACTCTTAAGAATATTTTATGTGGCCGGCACTGTGGCGCAGCAGGTTAATGCCCTGGCCTGTGGTGCTGGTGTCCCACTTGGGCGCTGGCGTCCCACTTGGGCACTGGTTCGAGACCTGACTGCTCCACTTCCGATCCAGCTCTCTGTTGTGGCCTGGGAAAGCAGTAGAAGATGGCCTAAGTCCTTGAGCCCCTGCACCTGCATGGGAGACCTGGAATAAGCTTCGGATCGGCACAGCTCCGGCCATTGCAGCCAGTTGGAGAGTATACCATCGGATGGAAGACCTCTTTTAAGAGCAGGGCCCTTTGCCACTGCACAGGTTTTATTCCCTGAAAGCCAGCCCTGCACACACTTCACTGGAGTCTGCTCAGGTTTCTTCATCTTAATTTTCAGGGCCTTGCTTTTTCCTAACCAGTGCCCTTATAAAAGACCTGGCAAGGTTGGAATTCTACATATTGTCATTGATTTGCAGCAGGTTTAAATGTTGTGTTTGGTTGTCAGAATCGTGATCTGTGGCTGCAGCAAATAGGAGTTTCTTTCAGAGTAGTCATGGAAACTTTCTGATCCCTTTCCCAGACCTTGAACAATATTACAAAATCATGGGTAACAGATTCACTCAAAATGCAAGAAAGACAAATGGATTTTAACATAACAAAATGACAAGTTCAATGAACTCTACCTTATAAGGCACTACTTAGAAAAGATCAAAATGCACATTTTTGTCAACGATGTATGTAAGTGCAATGTGTAAATGTAACAGTAGAAATCATTTGCACTTCGTGATTCTGGAACCCTCTGTACTGGGTATCTCAGAGAACATACTCTGATGTCAGACATCCAGTGTGGGAATCCCACCCCCACCTTCCTATTTCAGTGATCACATGAGCCCAGGTAGGTTACTCATATCCGATAACCCCCAGTGCATTCACGTGTAAGGTATTGGCAGTACTTAGACATTAAATGTAGTAGTCTGGACAGAGGGCCTGACACTCAATAGTTCGCATTTTTCATTTATATTTGTAGTGAGTTCCAGGCGTGAAAAATCTGAACGTTCTTTCCCTTTCCTGGAAAATTGAGCTGTCTTTAAACAACTGAAATACTGAGTCATTTCTATTTGTTGATCAGCATGTACTTTTCACAGTCTTTTTTATCACAGTAATCTTTAGGTAACGTACATGCACTTTGCCAGGGAAAGTGTTGAAACAATACATTGGGTCCTGACAGCTTTATCAGTTGTTCCAATGGTTTCACATTAGGGTTTTTTTCCCTTCCTAGTGATTTCTGAGAGGAAAAGTGTGTGAAAACCAAGTGAAATGACTTGTCTGATAGGTGTGATTTTACCAGAGATAAAAGTGCTCCAACATCAGTCAGAAAACCCACAGCAGTGCAAATGCTGCTGTGGAAGCCACGGGCCTCTCTGTGTTGGGGGTAGGCTTACAGGCCCAGCTGCACTTTGGGTCCGGGCTGCAGACACCCTGGGAG